TTTCACAAAAACAACAAAATCACCCCACCCAAGTATAAGGAAAGTTGAGAACCACCATGTGACCTTAGGGGCCAGTCACTGCCTCTCAGCCCTACATACATACATACATACATACATACATAATTTCTTTGTATGCTGCCTTTCCACAGTTCAAACCATGCTCAAGGCGGCTTACGAGATGAAAAAAATACATAACTACAAAATAACATACTCTCCCTGTTGCCCTCTTATGCAGGACTCTCCACCCCCCCATCTTATGTAGTTTTATGTAGTTTTGTAGTAGTTTTATGTAGTTTTGTAGCAGTTTTATGTAGTTTTTCAATTTCATTGTTCTGCATGGGACAATGACAATAAAGATATCGTATATCATAGTGTATATCGTATCTTGGATTCACTGGAAGAGGGTTTGGGAGAATGTGATGCTAATTGAAGGAAGGTGAGGACAGGTGACCTCACCTAGGCCCGAAGTCACCCCCACCAAAGCAGGCTCAAAGCTTCTCAAAGCTTTTCAAAATCATTTTCTCAGCAGCTAAGCATCAGAAACATTCCGCTTTGCTGTAACAAAGGTAGAGAACAGTCCATTGTTACTCAAGCCTTTCTCATGCCTTCTGGCCTTGCTAAAAAAAACCACATTGCAACTTGCTTCTGTCCGGGAACCATGCCAAAGTACGAGAATGAAACATAACTGGAACACTCTGAAACCCCTTTCCTGGGAAGGGCGCCAAGAGTCCAATAGTCCCAAGACAGCTTTCTGTTCATGCTCAGAGGAACTCATGGGGCAGGACTCTGGAAGGAGGAGAAAGGAGGAGGGAACTGGAAAGGGGTATATATGCTTGTGCACATGACTGTGAACTCGTGCATGCTTTTCGTGAACTATCACACTTGCTCCTTCTACCAGTTCATGGATGGTAGAAATAAAAGCCTTTTCTCCGAAACTATTCCTTGAGTGTCTGTTGACTCCCACTTCCCTTTCCCAGGCGCAATATTTTCCCCACCCGAGGGCAAAGCCTCATAAGGCTACACTAATGACCAATACCAAGATGGTCTACTAGGCACTGCTTTATGAGAGTGAGATGAGGGCAGCTTACACCCCACAGAAGCGACGCTTCAACGCCTTCCACATGCACAGCACCAGCAAGATTTGGGGCATCACACGGCAGGACAGAATCTCAAAATTCTGGATGTGCTCTTCCAAGCCCACATTCCCAGCACGTTCACACTTGTCTCAGGGACATTTACGCTGGCATGGTCCTGTCCACAGAATGAAAGGTGGCGGTCAAGCACCAGTCCCATTGCCAGACCAACTCTGCATTACAAATATGTTTGCCAACGTGATAAGGCTGGCAACATCAACCTTGCCATGTGGGAATTCCTTGCAAACAATCACAATGCCTGGAGTCAGTCAGGTCCTGTATCCGCAGTAGTGACCAGAGTAGGAATGACAGCTGGGAGGAGTGCAGAAAGAAGAAAAGTCACGGTGCATCTGCAGCAGCACAGGGAGATGCCTTCGTCTGCCCCAGCTGCAACAAAACATGTCTCTTCCAATCCAAATGGAAAGCTACACTGCTGGAAAAGCTTAAAGGCTTGGGGATCCCACAGCAGACCCTGATAGCGACAGGCTTCGAGAAAGCTAGGACTACAATTCGCCAGCGTATCTGGGACGTAGAATTACAATGCCACATGAGCGAAATGATCAAACATCCAGCAATAAGGGACCATGGGAGAGGTTTCTCTCCAGCTAACTATCTGTCAGGTCTTCAGGTACCCAAATACAGACGGTCTTTTACCCTCGCCAGATTCAACGTTCTCCCTTCTGCCTTACTTCAGGGCAGATTTGAGGGTAAACCATACACAGCACGGGTTTGCCCCTGTGGCTCGTTGGAAGTTGAAACTGCTTCACATGTACTATTACATTGTCGTCTTTATGAGGATATACGTTTGACTTTTATTACACCTGTTTTGCAAAAGTCCAGGAAAGAATCGGAACACCATAGTTTAAAACTACTGCTAGAGGACAAGAATCCCAAGACTACATTAAATGTAGCCAAATTCTGTGCGTCTGCAATTAATCGCAGGAAGCAAGTGGTATCCCATAATGACCAAACCCCCAAATGTTAATTACAGGGGGCATGCTAATAATTAATCTTAATTTTTTTATATTTAAATCCTTGTTATACTCATATTGTCCTCTATATTTATGATATATATTTTTTATGATCTGTGATATTGTGTGTGTTGACGCTGGTCTGTGACCGTATTATTAAATTCATTCAACATGTCTCTCCCCCATCTGTCTCCACCACCGCAGCAGGCGCTGTAACTCTCCAAAGGTTTGACTTCACCCCTGTAATAAACGAAAATCTGCCCTAATTCCCTTATGGGGAACAAGGGCCCTTATAGAGTCCTTTGCAGGTTCTCCATCGGTCGGAGGGAAAAAACAGGCCAACCAGAGAATATGAGAAGCAAAGCAGCTAGTAAGCCTGATCTTTATTGAACTGTTGCAACAGGTGTGTCTGCCCTTATATAGACATTTTAAATTGCCCACCTTGGGAGTCAAAGACTACCCCCAGAAACATCATACCTACGTCACAGAAAGGGCAGGCTAAAGCAGAAATCTGAGTGGGTTGTTTACCTCCTGTCTGGCAGGTTACCTGTTAATGCTTACTTGATTGGATACCCTGGGGAGCCTGGCCAGTCTTTTGTAATGATAAGTTCTTAGTTCCTGAGCCAAGTCACAGGCTCACCCAGACACAGACATACTCTTAAGACAGGATTTGTGAAGGAAAAGACAATGGGGAGGCTCTTCCATTTGACCTTGCAGAGAAAACACCTGGTCAGTTTGGGAGTCAAAATGGCTCAATGGCTGCTCTCCTGTGCAGCTTCAGACATGTGGCCTATACAGTGGTAATAATAATAATAATAATAATAATAATTTTTATTTATACCCCGCCCTCCCCAGCCAAGGCCGGGCTCAGAGCGGCTTACAAGCAATAATAAAAACAAGTCAAATGATTACAACTTAAAAACAAAATTTAAAAATACAACATTGAGTGGTACCTCAGGTTAAGTACTTAATTTGTTCTGGAGGTCCGTTCTTAACCTGAAACTATTCTTAACCTGAAGCACCACTTTAGCTAATGGGGCCTGCTGCTGCTGCCACGCCGCCGGAGCACAATTTCTGTTCTCATCCTGAAGCAAAGTTCTTAACCTGAAGCACTATTTCTGGGTTAGCAGAGTCTGTAACCTGAAGCGTATGTAACCCGAGGTACCACTGTATATCTATGTACACTGACCAGATGTCTGGAAGCTGTAGCTGGATGGTTACGTGGAAGCCGGTTGAAGTTAAATCCTTCGAAGACAGAGGTCCTCTGGCTAGGACGGGGCGATATGGGATTGAGGGGGCAACTCCCATCTCTTGCGGGGGTGCAATTAGTGCCAGCATCGTCCGTTAAGAGTTTGGGTGTAATCTTCGATACCTCCCTCTCTATGGATGCGCAGATTACAGCTATAACAAAGGCGGCATTTTTTCATCTCCGCCAAGCTAAGCAGTTGGCTCCTCATCTCTCTCGCTCTGACCTAGCCATTGTGATCCACGCGACGGTCACCTCCAGGCTTGACTATTGTAACTCGCTCTACGTGGGGCTGCCCTTGAGACTGACCCAGAAACTCCAGCGGGTGCAGAATGCCGCGGCGAGACTCCTTACGAGGTCTTCGCTGCGAGATCATATTCATCCGGTACTATACCAGCTGCACTGGCTCCCGGTGGAGTACAGGATCAGGTTTAAGGTGCTGGTTTTAACCTTTAAAGCCCTATACGGCCTAGGGCCCTCGTACCTACGGGACCGCCTCTCCTGGTATGTCCCACAGAGAAATTTACGGTCTGCAAATAAAAACATCCTGAAGAGCCCAGGCCACAGAGAGGTTAGGCTGGCCTCAACTAGAGCCAGGGCTTTCTCGGCTGCGGCTCCAGTCTGGTGGAACGCTCTGTCACAAGAGACTAGGGCCCTGCGGGATTTGACATCTTTCCGCAGGGCCTGCAAGACAGAGCTGTTCCACCAGGCCTTTGGTCAGGGCGCAGCCTGACTCCCTCCCCTGGCAATCTGCACAGAATTTTGCTTAATGGTTGCCATCAATTTGATTTTAATTTGATTTTAATTAATTTTATAATGAATGTTTTTAGAATGTTGGATTATTTTAATTGTTGTTAGCCGCCCTGAGCCCAGCTTCGGCTGGGGAGGGCGGGATATAAATAAAATTTATTATTATTATTATTACGTGTTTGCTTGGTACCTTTATTATATACATAAGACCTTAATTTATTTATTTCACCCCACAAAAGCACACTCTTCCATTGTCTCTTGAGAAAAGATGGCTGCCAAGAACGCAACTGAGAAACCCATTGAAAGACCAGCTCAGAGCCGTGCACCTTCTTGAGCATGGGAAGGTGGGACCAGGTGCTCCACCTTGCCCTCCTTGGAAGAAAAAAAGTGGGATATAAACGGAATCCATTAATCAAGTTGCCGCCTTAGTGGTTTTTTCCCCTGGACTACAACTCCCATCAGCCCCAAAGCCAATGGTCCCAAGGGGGGCTGATGGGAGTTGCAGTCCATAAACTACCAGATTACGGGTGGGAAGGCTGGCGGCGGCGGCATACAACCGGAAGCAGCCGCTCTAGGAGATGCCCTTCCGCGGGAATCTATGGCGTGTTTCCCCGCCCACCTCCTTACCCGCGCTGCTCTATAGCGAGCGCAGACGTCGCCTCCTCCTCCTCTCCCCCCCACCACCGACGTCCGTGCGCGCCCTCCGCGCGTGCGCACTCGCCCTCTCCTGTTACGGCGTCGTCGTCGTCGTCGGGCCTTCCCGCCATTTTGTCTGACGGGACGCGGCGCCCGCATCTCCCTCCCCCGCCGCGGCGCCCGCTCTTTTCATGAGGGGAAAAGCAGCGGCGGCGCCGCTCCTCCTCCTCCTGCCCTTTCCGTCGAGCTTGGCTTCAAGGCTCCATGGCAGCCGCAGCCGCTGAGGGGAGCGACACCTCGGCTGCGGGGGGCGACGACGCGGCGGCGGCGCTCCTCCTTCCTTCGTGCCCCCTCAGCGCGGGCAAAGCGGCGGGGGCCGCCTCGCCGGCGGCGGGGGCCGCCTCGCCGGCCGGGTCGACGCGTCGCCTGAGCGACCTTCGGGTGATCGACCTCCGGGCCGAGCTGAAGCGCCGCAATTTGGACACCGGCGGCAACAAGAGCGTCCTCCTCGAGCGCCTCCGCAGCGTGAGTTGTGAGGCGGGGGGGGGAGGCCAGGCTCTTTTTCTCCCTCGTCTGAAAGGGTGAAGGCCGGGTTTCGGGGGGGGGGGGAACGAAAACATGGAGGGGAAAGGGGGGGAGCACAAACCACCATCCCCCCCCCCGCGCGGTTTCTCGTCCCCCCCCCGTTTGCTTCTGAATAACGGAGAGTGAAAGGAAGCCCCCCCCCCCCCGACGATAATACTGAGACCTCCGGGTATATAGGGCGGTATATAAATCCAAGAAATGAATAAAATATAAACGGGAACATGGAAGGGGGGAGTCCAGTTTCTTGCCCCTCCCTCGTATTCCTGTGTGTCTCCCCCCCGCGCGCATATAAATTCAATGAATAAATAAAATATAAACGGAAACATAGAGGGGGGGTCCACGTTCTTGCCCCCCTTTTTCCTGTGTGTTTCCCCACCCCACCACCCGCATATAAATTCAAAAATAAATAAAATATAAACGGAAACATGGAAGGGGGGGGAGGAATCCAGTTTCTTGCTGCTTCCCCCTCCCCCACTTGACTGTGTGTCTCCCCACCACCACCGCCCGCATATAAGTTCAATAAACATTGAAGAGTGGTGGGGGGTTCATTTTCTTGCTCCCCCATTTTACTGTGTCTCACCACCACCACCCGCATTTGCTTCTGGGGAAAAGGGTGTTGGGGGGAGGGTTTTTTCTTTTATTTCCCCCTTCCCCGCCCTGATTCTTCTTGTTTTTCTAATGGCGCAGCTGTTTTTGTTTTTTCCACCTTGGGGAAAAGGCTACAGATGTGAACTTGTTTTCCATGACGCTGAAGTAAATTGGGGGAGGGGGGAGACCCCCCTATATTTTTGTTTTCACACCCGCACATCATCATCATTGCTTCGGGGTCCGTAGAGATGTGAAGACACGGGGGGTTTGGAGGGGGATTAATCCTGTTTTTTGTTTTTAAGTTTAAAAAACTGTATATCTCTTTTGAAGCCTTGGGCTCTAATAATCATAGTAGTAGTTTTATCATTTATATGCCGTCCATCTGATATGGGTTGCCCCAGCCACTCCAGGCCACTTCCAACGAAATATCAAAACACAGAAAAACCCTCAGACATTTAAAAATCTCCCTGTACATGTTAAATATAAATGCTAACACTGTATTACTGGTTTTTCCTGATGCCCACATCCCTAGTTCCCCTTAAGCAAATGAGAGGTTGTGGGTGTCCCCCTCTCCGATATTTGCTTTGTTTTTACCTTGTGGGGCTCCCTGGGGGGGGTGTAAAATATGAATTGTAAACACTTAATATTATTGTTTTCCCAAGTGCTCACATCCCCAGTGCCCCATAAGCAAATGATATGTGGGGAGGGGGACTGTTTATCCCCCTCCCTCACCTATTTGCTTTTGTTTTTTAATCATGTATCTTGCTTGCCACCCTGGGCTCCTTGGGGAGGAGTAAAAATTAAATGATATTCATACTGTGTTGTTATTCCGGACCTTCACATCCATAGTGACCCCTGAAGTAAATAAGATGATGGGTTGGGGGTCATTGAAAGGGGGGTTGAGGGTGGAATGAAGTGGGTGAGATTATGGGATTTACTGGCGGGATGTGGGAAGAACTAGGCTTCTAAACGTGGTACAGCATTAGATGATGGTAACGTAAATGAGATGGAGTTTGCTGGGAAGGGGGCGATGATAATAATGATGACAGGGTTTGGATTTTGGTGAGGATGGAGAAGATGGTGATGGGATTTTTGGGGGGTGCAGGAGGGAGTCTCCTTTTTATAGAAAACCAGATGACCCGAAAGTAAATGAGGCAGGTTTGGGGTTGCTGCAGGGGGCAGGATGGGATTCAGGAATGGAATCTTAGAGTAGAATGAAGGTGATGGACTTTTGAGGGGGGTCCTAAATGTGGGGTTGGATTATGGCAAATGAGATGAGAGAGTATTGGGGTTTCGGGTAGGATAATGGGAACAAGAGAAGGAATAAAAAAAGACGGAGAGTTATGGGTTTGGTTTGGGGAGGAAAGTTAGGATGTTGGGCTTTGGTTTCCTGCAAGGGGGAGCCGGAAGTAGACATCTAAATAGGTGATTGGATGATTCAGAAGTAAATATGTGATTGGGGTTCTTTCAGGGCAGCAGGGATTGAGTGGAATCGAAGGAAAGAAGGTGGGGTTAAGGATTGATAACAGTGAAATAATAATTTATTAATTTATTTATACCCCACCCTCCCCAGCCAAGACCGGGCTCAGGGCAGCTAACACCAAGTATAAAAACAATTGATTAAAATACAACTTAAAAACAAGATTAAAATACAACATTAAGATGCAGCCTCATTTCAGTAGAAGCTCAAATCAAAAACTTTTTGGGGATAAAAACGTCAAATCTTCACCAAGGCCAACTATCCAGACTGGTCTTACGTGGGCCAAAAAAAAAGCCAGGGAAGTCCCCAGATAGGAGTTCCATCACAGAAGGAGAAAAGGAAAACGAGGGGGGGGAGAGGAGGGGATCAAGCTGATTCCAAGCCAAAGGCCAGGCAGAACAACTCTGTCTTACAGGCCCTGCGAAAAGAAATCAGATCCTGCAGGGCCCTGGTCTCATGAGACAGAGTGTTCCACCAGGCCGGAGCCAGTGTTGAAAAGGCCCTGGCTCTGGTTGAGGCTAATCTGACTTCCTTAGGGCCCAGGACCTCTAGGGTGTTGCTATTTATGGACCTTAAGGTCCTCCGCGGGGCATACCGGGAGAGGAGGTCCCGTAGGTACGAGGGTCCTAGGCTGTGAAGGGCTTTAAAGGTCAAAACCAGCAAATTGAATAAGAAAGGATTTTGGTTTCTGTAGGGAGAGAAGATGGGATTGAGGGGTGGAATTAAAAGGAGGGAGAAGGAGGTGGTGTTGGGGTTTGTCAGTTGTGGGGCGGGGGGCTCCTACAGATGGGATCAGATGATGGTGATCCTATGCTGCTTGTCATCCAAGGATCACAAGGCGACTTACAATATAAAAATACAAAAGTTCACACCACAGTAACAAACGAAAACAATACCCGCAATACAGTCATGTGAAGGATGGGAGAGAACTGGGGAGGGGATTCAGGGTCGAATGACAAGATAGAAAGGGAAAATAGGCAGGTTGGGTGGGAGAGAAGTAGGTTGAATGATGGTGAAGTCAATGAGATGATAAGGAATTGGGTAGAATTAAAGGGAGCAAGGTGCTGGTGATGGGACTGGCTGGGGTGGAGAAGGCTCCATTTAAAAGACAGATTAGATGACCCATAGGTAAATGAGATGAGGGGCGCTGGGGTTGCTGTGGGGTAGATGATGAGAGAATGAGATCATACAGTGAGTGGAATCACAAGGAAGGAGAAAGTAACGAGGGGGTTTGCTATGGGAAGAAGGCGTTTGAAGTTGGGATTGGATGATACTGTACTGAAATGAAAGGGGGATTGGGGTTGCTCGGGGGGGGGAGGGAGGAAGAAAAAAGAAGTTGGGAGGGGGGAAAGGGAGGAGGGGATTAAGGGGTGGTTTCAAAGGAAAGAAGACAGTGGTGGACATGGGGGGATGTGTTTGTGGCAGGGGTGAGAAGAGAGAAATAGGGAGTGGGAGAAGTGGGGTGGCAAGTAGGAATGGGCTGTGAGGAAGGAAGGCCAGATGATGGGAGGAGGAAGAAAAATGGCATGTTAAAATGGAAAAAACAAGGTGCTGTGGGGGTAAAGGTAAAGGGACCCCTGGCCATTAGGTCCAGTCGTGACCGACTCTGGGGTTGTGGCGCTCATCTCGCTTTACTGGCCAAGGGAGCCGGCGTACAGCTTCCGGGTCATGTGGCCAGCATGACTAAGCCGCTTCTGGCGAACCAGAGCAGCGCACGGAAACGCCGTTTACCTTCCCTCTGGAGTGGTACCTATTTATCTACTTGCACTTTCAACGTGCTTTTGAACTGCTAGGTTGGCAGGAGCAGGGACCGAGCAACGGGAGCTTACCCCGTCGTTGCGGGGATTCGAACCACCGCCCTTCTGATCGGGAAGTCCTAGGCTCTGTGGTTTAACCCACAGCGCCAACCACGTCCCTTTGCTATGGGGGTAGGAAGTGGTTAATTGTCCTGAGTAAGAGTGGTGAAATTTAGGGATGCAGTGGAAGGTGTACATCATGAAGACAGAATGAATACTGCCTTTCTTGAATGCAGGGCAGACTTGGCGTTGCTGAACTTCCTTGCAGAGAATCCTACAAAATATGCAAGTAATATAAAATAAGACATTTGCTGTTTCTGAAATGCACACAATCTTTTCTTCCTAACAGACCATTGAGGAAGAAGGGGGAAATCCTGATGAAATTCCTGTGGTGGCCGAGAGCCCTGGCAAGAGAACTCCCAAAAGAACAGTGAAAGGTATGGAATGGCATGGATGTGCTTGCACTCTTGGCCAACTTGCAGATTGAATTTGCTTTTTTATCTTGTGAACAGCTGTTCTCTTTCTAGACCAGCTCGTTAGCGTGTGCAGATTTTGTGCTAGTTTGGATTTTCTGGGTCAGCTATACAAATATTTTATTTAGTTATTTGCAAAATGTGTAGCATGTATAAGTTTGGGCACCTAGATTTAAATGTCTTCCACTTCCCCCACCTTATATCTTTCTCCGTTTATGAGGTGTCTATTAGATTGTAAGACTTGAGGGCAGGGCCTGTGTCTGTGTGTCTGTGTGTCTGTGTGTGTCTGTGTCATTCATATATGTGTATGTATGTATGTGTATAAATAAAACTTTGCACAGTGCCTGGAAAACACCTGATGAGCCTCCAATCTGTTTGCTGGTTTTTAGGGCGTAAGCCAGAGGAAGAAGGTGGAGAAGATAACGGGTTGGAGGAAAACTCCAGAGATGAACAGGTAAGGGGAAGGAGAAAAGTGACTTAGTGTTCCTTACAAGCTCTGTTTTCAAGCTACAGGCATTGCAGTTTCCTTTTTTATTTACCCCACCCCACCCCATCCCCTTTACAGGAGGATATTGAAGCAAGTTCAGATAACATCCAGGATATGGATGTGATGGATATTAGCATTTTAGACGAAGCCGAAATAGATAACACCAGTGCTGTTGATTGTGGAGATGACTACAGCTCTGAGAACCTTCTCGACTCTGACAAAGATAACATTGATGCGGAAATGAAAGAACTTCCTGAACAGCTAATGGAAAGCGAGGTCAGTAATTGGTTGGTGGCATCTCCTCTTGTGGTGCAAACCCAAGATTTGTGCTGGTTTAGTGTATGGAAAATTCAGCCCTGCACACCCCAGTCTAATCACTATTCTTCCCTTGGAGTGTTTTTTGTTTTGTTTTGTGGTTCAAACAACACAAGCCCTCTTAACCTTCACAGGTAGTCTCTCTTCCTCACTTTGTGTCCTTTTGTGTCAACATTGTGTTGCCCACACCTTCACTTCAGAAATTGGAATGTTTGCAAACATTTTGTGGTTCGGTACAGAAAGGAAGGCTGGCTGGTAACAGTTAACTCTTTTTGTGACTTCTTATATCATCGCTTCAAGCACTGGTAGTTCTAAGCATTTTTAGTCTGTAAGGAATACCTTTTTTTCTTCTCTTAGGAGAATGGTGAAGAACTTGATGATCTGCTTGACGCTACTTCACCTGGTTTAACTGCAGTGAAGGTAATGTACCTGTCTCTTGATCAACACCTGTCAGCTTGATCATATTCTGGAGCCCTGAGCTAGCAAATTACTTTGCTTTAGTTCTTGTAATAGAGACTGCGTTTTGATGTTGGCTTCACCTAATATTTAGCTTCCATGCAAGCTGAATCAAAAGGTTTCTGAGCTCCTCATTTCCTAGTGTGAATGGTAACCTCAGTGCATAAACAGCTGGGACTGATTTAAATCAAGGCAATGTGTTGTACCCAGCATTTGTCAATTCAGAATAGACCTGTTGAAATTAAGGCACATGACTAGCAGCCGTGACCATTTGTGACAATAGCTATGAGAGTATAGGAACTTTCAAACTTGGCAAGTTGGCCTGTGCTTCTTTTTTCATTGTTGTTCCTTTCTGCTTCCCTATCTTGACCCAACAGACAATAATGAAATGTTTGTGACTGATAGTTTGAAGCAAGATCTGATAGTGACTACATAAACTAGAGCAGACTATTTTCACAAGGTGAAAATTGCATGTGCCTAACAGGTAAAATTGTAAACATTCATATTTTAAAAGCTATCAGATTGGCTTTTCCTTGATATAGAAAGTATCTTATCTCCATTAATCTGGCTGGGGTACCGATTCAGGTTAGAGATTATCTGCAGAGCTAAAATATACAAGCTATCCTCATTTTATGTGGGGTTTACGTTCTGGACCCCCACGCGTTGGCAAGGCCCATGTAAAGCATTTCGGCACTGCACAATTGTGCATCAATCAGACATGCATAAATCGGTCGTTGCCTATATTCAACATTATTTACTATTAACCAAATTATTATTCGAGAGAAACTTGTTATCTGGTGTAAGCCATGCTTGAAGTTGGCCAGATAGAATTAATGGATGTGACTAACTCGAATCTATGCTGAATAGAACCTAGTTGGACTGAGCCCTCTATATTTTTTATTGAGTTTTTATTTTCTGTCCTGTTTAAAGCTGGAAGCTGATGGCCAAGAAGGATAATTTTACTTGCCACAGCAAAGATCACATACTTTTATTTTTTCCTGTCTATGCTAATTGTAGAGAGGAACACAAAAAGTAGTAGGACCTCAGAGCCATTGCTGCTTAACTACTGGAAATCTTATTCAGAGATTTTTAACAGAAGTTTCCCCACACAATTCATGTAAGTTATAGTATATTCATATCCATAAGGCCTAGAAACATCCACACAGCTTTTAAGTAATAGTCCCGCTTCATTCTACCTTGGTCAGCCCACACCTGGAATCCTGTGTCCAGTTCTGAGCACCACAATTTAAGGATATCCACAAGCTAGAACATGTGCAGAGGAGGGTGACCAAGATGAGGAACAGAACAGTTCAGGGAGTTGGGTATATTTAGCCTTAAGAGGAGACTGATGGCCATTGTCAAATACCTAAAGGGCTGTCACGTGGAAGATGGGTGGGACCCAAACTAAGTTACAAAAAAGAAGATTCCGACTAAATATCAGGAAGAACTTTGTGGCAGTAAGAGCTGTTAGACAGTGGAACAGACTCCCAGAAGAGGTGGGGGCTTCTCCTTCCTTGGAGGTTTTTAAGCAGAGGTTGGATGGCCATCTGCCATGGATCCTTTAGTTGGGATTCCTGCGTTGCAGGGGGTTGGACTAAATGACCCTCGGGTCCCTTCCAACTCTGTACAGTGGTGGTGGTGTTTAGTCGTTTAGTCATGTCCGACTCTTCGTGACCCCATTGACCAGAGCACGCCGGGCACTCCTGTCTAGGGTTAGGTACTATACAGTGGTACCTCGGGTTAAGTACTTAATTCGTTCCAGAGGTCCGTTCTTAACCTGAAACTGTTCTTAACCTGAAACGTCACTTTATCTAATGGGGCCTCCTGCTGCCACCACGCCACCGGAGCACAATTTCTGTTCTCATCCTGAAGCAAAGATCTTAACCCGAGGTACTATTTCTGGGTTAGCGGAGTCTGTAACCTGAAGCGTATGTAACCTGAAGCATATGTAACCCAAGGTACCACTGTACTGTAATTCTATGATTCTGAGCAATTATAACCAGCTTCACAGAAATCGTAGGCTCTTTGGAAACTATAAATTTATTTCACAGCTGTAATAAATTACTGCATTGAATTTGCTTCCTGTATTGGGGACAATAGTTATGGGCCTAAATCCTGTCCACAATCTTTGACACACACTCTAGTTTCCATCTCCTAAGCCTGAAATAATTACACATTATACCCTTATTTGCCTCTCCCTCTCCTCCCTCTGTTACTTTTCTAGAGCTAAAACTTAGGTTGGAAGCTTCTTGGGCCTGGGGCCAGTCATGTTTATACTCTATAAAGTAAGGTGTCTAACTTTGTGGCTGTTTTCATGACACTGAAAAATGTAATGTGGGAAACTGGGGAAACCTTTAAAGACTCATGTAACCTTTGTGCTGGGCTTCTTCCTTTCTTGCAACAAATAAACCAGGGGTCAGCAAACTTTTTCAGTAGGGGGGCAGTCCACTGTCCCTCAAACCTTGTGGGGGGGGGGCCCAGACTATATTGGGGGGGGGGATGAAGGAATTTCTATGCCCCACAAATAACCCAGAGATGCATTTTAAATAAAAGGACACATTCTACTCATGTAAAAACACGCTGATTCCCAGACTGTCTGCAGATTGGGCCAGATCCGGCCCCCGGGCCTTAGTTTACCTACCTATGAAATAAACTATCAGGCCTACTGGCTGCTGATTTGCTTCTTTGCTTGGCTGAAGTCTCTTTGTTTTGTGACCGATCAAAGATCTGCGGGGCTAGACCGTAGCGAAGGTGGGAAACGCTTTAAGTAGCAGACCCCAATATTTGTCCTTTTCAGCCATCATTCCTCTGCTGCCTGGGGCTGTTGGTACAGTCATACCGTTTGACTTCCAAAACGTTCAGAAACCAAAGCACAGCTTCTGATTGGCTGCAGGAAGCTCCTGCAGCCAATCGGAAGCCCATCGGATGTTTGATTACAAAGAACGGCCGCAAACCGGAACACTCACTTCCAGGTTTGCGGCGTTCAGGAGCCAAAACATCTGAGTACCAAGGCGTTTGTGATCTAAGGCACGACTGTAGTTGGAAGTTCAACAGCATCTGGAGGGCTACAAGTTCCCTGCAATAGGGTATCGCCTTGCTTGGATTCAACAGTCTATGCTGCAGAACTACATATTAATGCATATTGTTGCACTTTAATGCAACACAGGAAGCCCTCAACTTACAGGGGGTTTACATTTTGGGGATTGGCCTTGAAGCAAGAATTTTTAATAGTGAAAACACATTAGGTGCCATGGCAGGTGGGATTGCTGAAGTCTTCCCCCCCCCCAATCATTTTTATTTTAATATTATTTTTTTGGCCAAGTGCATAATACTGAGTGTGCACAAGTTAAATGTGCATAGGTTGCGGGCTTACTGTATGACCTACTTCAGGCCTTTTTTTGCGCCATTTAACACCACACCCTTTTCTTCTTTCAGGACTTGGGAGAGCAACATTCAGAGCCAGGTACCTTTCGATTAATTTCTTCTTGCTGGTTTTTAAAATGAGGTGGAGAAAAGGCCCAGGACTTTAACTAACTAGACTTCTTACATTACCGAGTAGTCAACAATCGACGTCATTCCAAAGTTCATAAAGATTTTAAATCTACGGTAACCCTTATTGTTAGCTCTGAGAAGTAACGCCTTTCGTTTCGCAGTTGCTTCCTCTAGACCTGAAATGTTCTTTTTTTTAAAGAGAAAAATAATAATTTCTATTTAGCTTCACAAATGCACTAGAAGAAATGTTAGCATCACGTATGAAAGCAAAAGATTTCTACCTGTAGCACAGATTGTAATATATGATTGTGTGATCAGGGAGAATAGTGAAGGCAGTTTAAAAGTTATCATAGGGGAAATACAGTGTTTTTAAGTGAGTTACGGCGTAACAGAAGAAGGAAGACAAGAGGTTCTACATGGAAATTCCATAATACTGTTTCCTTTCTTGGACTTTCACATGTTCACGCCATCAGAAGATGTTCCAGTTGACATGTTGGACCGCCCTGCCTTAAACAAAAAGAGAGAAAGCAATTCAGAATTTGAAATGGAATTTTGTGTTCTTTGATTCATTTCTATTTAAGCCTCTTGGAATTTGGGAAGAACAAACCTCTTGAAGACATGTCAAGAACGAGCCAGAAGGTTTTCATTAAACTAATAGGGTCATTTTCTTCTTCATAACTTATGATCTTGCTATAATAAACCATGTCTAGTTAGTGTTAGGCATTTGAATGTGGTATACCCAAGGGGTTTTCCAATCTCTGTGTAGCCTTAGCCGTTCTCTCAGTGTTAAGTCTGGCAGCCATGCCCGTTCCGCATTTGTCTTTGCTGTGTTTCCCTGGTGATTAAACCTTGTGCCATTCTATTCCTGTTAAATCCATAGAAAATGAGAAAATGCTCGACATTTTGGGTGACACTTGTAAATCTGAGCCCCTTAAAGAAGAAGCTCCTGAAGCAGAGCAGGCACAGGAAGAGAATATCTCGTTGCCGGTCAAACAGGAAGCCCAGGAAGAGGAAGACACACTTGCCACTGCCGTCGCTCAGTCGGACGAAGAGCTTTTAGATACGGACAGCCAGTCCAGGCCAGGCTGCGGCCAAGAGCGAGGAGGATGAAGCGAAGCACTTAGTGGTAGCGAAAGGGGAGCCGAGCGAAGAGACAGTAGAGGAAGCTAACCTGGACTCTGACTCTTTAGCGGTAGAGAGCAGGTGTGGTGGAGGAGGAGGAGGAGAAGGAAGTGGTGAGAGTAGCAAAGCAGCCCAAACTCTGGAAGCCAGTAGTGAGGAAACTGCGGAGAAGGACGCAGGTTTCCAGGTGGTTAGCCAAGATGCCGAGAAGATGGAAGCCAAGGCTAATTGTGAGGAAGAGTCCTCTGCCCAAGAGGGTGGTGATCAGAACACGAGGTTTGTTTTTTCTCCGTTTTAGACCAGATGCTCTCTTTTTTTTTTTTTTTTTTAAAGTCTCGTTGGTCTGTAAGAGATCAGGGTCACTGTTTTTCTTCATATTGGCCTGCAAGCGTACTGAAATTCTGTTACCTTATTATAAAAGCCATCTTTTAGCTTTTGTTTTCCCCCTTCCCCATGTACAATTAAAAAAAAACAACCCAGAAAGGTTTGATTTCTTTTTTACAACCTTCAGAGGTTGTTTTCTTAAATCTTTGCCTTTAATTGTCTGTAAGCTGTTCTGTCTTTAAGGTTTACTTCCCGTACCTATCTTAGCAAGATGTTTTTCATTGTTGGCTTTTCTTATTTTTGTTTTCTTTTTACAAGTTAATTCTGGTAGGTATTGAGTTCTAGTGTACTATATATATATCTATTATATTAATTTGCCTTATTTTCTTTCCTGATTGGTTTTTCTTTTCTTTTTCTCCTTCTTTCTCCTTTAGTTCTGAGGAAATCAAAGATGAAAAGCCAGTTTCCAAAGAGGAGAAAGGTATATGTTTTTAAATATTGGTGCCTGTGCATAGGCAGAACTCAGCCTTCCTTTGATGCTATTTGATTTATTTATTTAGAATAACGGACATGACTTCGTGTTGGGTTGAAATCACGACAGACGAGTGGCGGGTGTCAAAGGAGAGGCGTCTGCCGGGGCAAGCCCCGGGAACTCTCTTTTATTGAATATTACAAACATTGCCACAGGTGTACTTGTGGCTGATTGGTTGATACAAACACAAAGCATCTTGTTGCTGATTGGTTAACATAGGTACAAGGCGGGAATAACATATGTCCATTTATCATTGATAGATCAAAGGATGAGGAATGGGGCTAGAACTAGACAGGCATGAATCCTCCTAATTAAATTATAACTAAAGATTAATATAACATGACTAAAACAATTACTAATGATTGATCATAACATGAAAGAACATAATAATGAAGTTCCGTAGATGTGGTCAGCTATGCATTAAGAACAGGTCAGGATACACTGTTTCATGAACTCAATGGGAACTGTTCAGAACATTCTCAGACTTATGTGCAGAAGCAGAAGCGAGACTTCCCAGAATGCAAGCGAAAAGAAGCAAGACTTCCCACAATGCCACAGTTATGTGCAGTAAGAGAACTGCAGAAAGAAAACTTCGCTTCAACTTCGTCTTTCTTGACGTGCTTAACGTGAGTCATGCAATAGCCAAAAAAAAAAAGTTAATGCAATTCTGGGCTACATCAACAGAAATCTAGTGTCATAGTACTGCTCTATTTTGCCTTGGCTAGACTCCCACCTTGGGTTCTTGGTCCGATTCTGGGAACCCCTTACATAGAATATTGGGAAGCTGGAATGTGTGCAGAGGAGGATTATCCGAATGATCAAGGGTCTGGAAACCAAGCCTTATGAGGAACAGTTGAAGGAGTTGGATATGTTTAGCCTTTGGGAAAAAATAGAGAGTTGATAGAAAAGCCATCTTCAGATATCTGAAGGGCTGTCACTCGGAAGATGGAGCAAGCTTGTTTTCTGCTCCAGAGGGGATAGGACTGGGACCAGTGGATTCATATGAAAGAAAAAGATTCTGGCTAAACATTGGGAAGACCTTTCTAACATTAATAGCTGCGTGACAGTGAAACGGAACTCCCCTTTACTGGATGTTTTCAAGCAGAGATTGGATGGCCATCTGACAGGGATTCTTTAGCTGTGATTCCTGCATTGGACTTGGAAAGAGACACCAAGGATAATCCAGTGCTACAAAAATTCTGTGATTCTACTCATGAGTAGGACTGCAACAGCAATGAAAGATGGCGCAAACTTCTTCCAGTCACCTAGTACCAGATGAAAATTTTCAGCTGTCAAAGGCCATCATGAAACTGAAATGCAACCTTGGGACCAGATGCATCGTGTCCTAGCTACTGTTGCACACTGAAATATCTAATTTACCTGGCTGCTTTCCCATAATACTAATATGACTAGAAGGAGCCATTCCCAGGGCCCCTGGCCATAACTCAGAGTTTAGGTGCTGTTTTCCGTGTCTCGAAAGAGGAAGGTTAAGGGCCAAAGCTCAGTGACAGAGCACCTCCTTTGAATGCAGAAAGCCCCAACTCAGTTCATGACATCTCCAGTTGGGGCTGGGATAAACTCCTGGTCTGGAGACCTGGAAGGCTGTTGCCAGTCAGTGTAGGCAACCCTGAGCTAATTGGACCAACTTCCTATGCCAGGCCTTGCTAAAAAGGAGCTGTGTCCACCCAGTGTGGCTGGGGTATATGGGGGCTTCAAGAGGACAAGTGTATCACCTGTGGAGAAACTGGCCCCCAAAAAGGCATCAGCTGGAAGCGTGGGATCCCCTGGGGAATTTTTAGATCTTGTCAGTTGCTTTCTCTTGCCTCTCCAGATGTTTTCTCTTGAGAGTAGTTGTGCTGTGCCTTATGTTACAGGATTTCTCATTAACTTGGGAAAACTATTAAACTCTTCTTTTAACTCACTGTATTTTAACTCACTTTTTTTTAAACTCACTTTTTTTTAAACTCACTGTATGTAAAAGAAGGGACGCGGGTGGCGCTGTGGGTAAAACCTCAGCGCCTAGGGCTTGCTGATCGCATGGTCGGCGGTTTGAATCCCCGCGGCGGGGTGAGCTCCCGTCTTTCGGTCCCAGCTCCTGCCCACCTAGCAGTTCAAAAGCATCCCTAAGTGCAAGTAGATAAATAGGTACCGCTTTATAGCGGGAAGGTAAACGGCGTTTCCGTGTGCTGCGCTGGTGCTGGCTTGCCAGAGCAGCTTCGTCACGCTGGCCACGTGACCCGGAAGTGTCTCTGGACAGCGCTGGCCCCCGGCCTCTTAAGTGAGATGGGCGCACAACCCTAGAGTCGGACACGACTGGCCCGTACGGGCAGGGGTACCTTTATGTAAAAGATGATGATAATAGTAATAATAGATTGCCCTAAGAAGAAGCCACCTCAGAATAGGCCCTGTTGAATATTTTCCAAGACAATAACGCTCACACACTATCAAAGAGCTTATAACCCACCTACTCTCAGCAGCCAGGAGTATCATAGCCAGACACTGGAGAGACCTGCCAGGAGTGAACATGGACCACTGGTACCAAATTGTATGGGAAACAGCCTTACTAGGAAAGCTAACCAACAGACTGAAACTAACACGGGGACAGATAAAAGAGGATGCCTTCAACCCGGTGTGGGTCCCCTTTATTATGCACATAGCCCAACAACAAGAACCCACCGAGAGCATACAAATTGATATGGGTAACTTGACCTAACAACCCCTTCCCTTTCAGCTGCAGTCAACTGAAGGCAGCCCCAGCCTCCCCCTCCCGACCTCTCTCACTGTCAGTGAAAACTAATGAATGGAAAGAGAATCTACCCAAGTGATGCTGACACATAAACCTCACACATAATAAAAGAATGCAAGTTTACCACCACATGTCCCACTACTATCCCCACCTTTCTTCTTCCCCGACCTTATACTGTATACGACATTAACACCTTGCATCAAATGTAAATGACCTGTAGAGAAAACTCTGAAATGGAGACAACGCATGTACAATTGAAACACAAGAAAATCCTTTAATGAAAACTCCTAGAAAGAAAGAAATGGACTCATCAAGCCTGGGAACTCATTCTAGGGGCGAAGTACAAAATGACTTTTGGCCACATCAGTCAAGCCACTTCTTCCTCACGGAAGTGGAAGTGACAATGTAGCTATGCCTCCCTCTCATGGGGAAGAGCCTGATTTGGACGCTCTGTGAGTGAGTGTGTGTGAGAGAGAGAGATCCAGAGACTCAAGTTTTTGAAATTCTGCTCTAGGCTTCCTCCAGAATTCCTCTTAGCAGCTCTACTCTCCCACCAGCAATTTCCCCCCCGCTATAGCCATCGAAAAAGTGGCTTGGAATCCTGCAAAAACGGTGAACCCCAGCAATAACAAAGTGAGAAACTGGACACGTGGAATTGGCCTAGTGGTACTTCCCACCAAACAGTTTGCACGTTGCCGCGAATGAATGTTGGCATACACAGCTTGAGTGTCGGCAATCTCAGGCACATTTTGTAAATGTCCAGAAACCATGGTCAGTCCCCACTAGCGTGTATAAACGAGACTGTCAGGTGTTCGCAGTGAGTATCTGACAAGCAGGGATGTACACTGGTGAAGGCGGTTCTTCTGGGATTACTACCAAATTTTTGGATGTTGGGGTCTTAACGTGCCTTTTCTCCAGGTTAGATTTCCTAGGGCTGCACTTCCCCTTCCAGAGGTGGGGTGGGCTGCCTTGTCACGCTAAATATGCTATAAACACTTCCTGTTTCCACGTAGGCCGCAGTGCTACCACAACTGGTCGGAACTTCTGGGTGAGCGGCCTCGCTTCCACCACCCGAGCAACAGACTTGAAGAACCTCTTTAGCAAATATGGGAAAGTAAGGCTGCATTGATTATTGTTGAAGCCTTGTGATGGAGAGACAAGTTCAGGGCCTGTGATAAAATGGTTCAGAGTATCTTTAACCCTTAACGAAAGTGACCTTGTTCAGGGTTGCTGCCAGCTATGCCCTTTCCCCAAGATAATACATTCCTCTTCCATTTTCCTGTTTTTGTTTTCTGGCATTTGGAGTTTCTGGCTACTTTTAAAAGATGTTTTTTAAAAAATTGAATTTGTTATAAAAATGTAAAGGAAACGGCAGTAATAATAGAGGACATTTCATGAAGCATAGCAATATCAACAGGCCCAGCAATGGATATAAATTTTATTAGATGATTCCGAAAGTACAGTTTTTGTCCCAAAGTGGTTAGCCAGGTGGCCAGCCTGTGACCTGTAATTGTTTTCTTCATCAGAAGCAAACTTAACGAAGGTGTACCATGTGTCCCAAAATTTGTCTAGTCCAGATCCCTTTCCCAGAGGTTTTAGGTTTTTTGTGCTAGCTCTTCGTTCAGCACTATAGGGGATTCTGGCTACTTAGCACAAAGTCCTCATTGGGTTGGTTTTTGTGGGGGGGGGGGGGTTGTCCCTCTTTGACTTTTCTTTTCAAAATATGTGTTTGCTTCGGCCAACTCCAGATCATGCAGATATCTCTGTTTCTCCAAACCCTACTGAGCTCCATTCTGTTCAGCACTCCCCACTTTCATTTACTATTACAATGAAGGCTGTAGAAAATTGCTACTTGCAAGTGAATACAGTTATGCCTGTGAGTTATGCTACTGCATACGACAGAACGGAATAAGTCACACTGTCCTATTACAGGCTGCTTGCTGTTGAGTCTTTGGCAACCCCCCACTTTTCCCTTTGTGTATGTACCAAGTAACCCAACTGGCTTTTCTTTCTCCAAAGCGAACTGGTCACTTGACACCAAGCTGTGGCTAAGTCAATTTTAAATATATGTCCTTCCTTTCTTCAAGGTGGTTGGAGCAAAAGTGGTGACTAACGCTCGGAGTCCTGGAGCCCGGTGTTACGGCTTTGTGACAATGTCCACAGCTGAAGAAGTGACAAAATGCATTGCCAATTGCCACAAAACAGAATTACATGGGAAAATAATATCTGTTGAAAGAGTAAGTGCTGGTTCTCTCTCTCCCTTCACTCTTAAAACAAAAATAACCTAAGGGATGTTTTCCAAAATATTACTTCTTTTTCTAACAAACAAACGTAATTTCAGGCAAAAAATGAACCTGCTACAAAGAAGCTATTGGAGAAAAAGGATAGTGAGGTGAAGAATGAAGCTTCAGCCAGTGATAGGTAATATGCTTTAGACTTGTTTTTCTTTCATTTTAAAAACATGTTTTCAGTTATTTTTTTAACAGTGTGAACTGTTTTCCCCCTATGTACTTTTTCTGTTTGAAGGAATAGTTGCATTCTTAACTTAGAAACACACACAACTTCCTGAGTGAGGATGCAGTACTGGAAAACCTGCCTGAAAGTGCAGGTGCTGTAGCTACATACCTGGTGTGAAAGGACTGCATTTACAGTCCTCCCAAGACTTGTGGCATTCAGAATGCACATCAGACTCCTTTCCTCCAAAAATTTACCACGTTGGGAAGAAGAGAGACAGTTTGGCACTCTCTCTGTCCATCAAGAGACCCCATTCATACATAAAATATTTCTTCTTATATTCTGAATTTTTGCCTTTCCAGAAGAAACTTCATACATGGGTGTGTTTTATTGATGTAATCTACATTGCCATTTCAAGAATCTATAGACTTAGCCTGAGTTTTCTTTGGGAGACTCTGGATAGGAGCAGCAAAAAACAGGAGTGCGGCCTCATATACATAAACACATGTACACGCACACACACACATGGCGCAAGTGCAGCAGGCAGGCAAGACTAGCCGCTTGTCAATCAACTGATTCAAGAGACCCATTTTCACTCCATGTAATGCATGGCATTTTAAAGCCGCAAAAATCAGTCAAGGCTTCAAAGCACAGTTTACAGCTCTGTGCAGGCTCTGGTGAAAAGCTGATAGTTCGGGTTTGCTGGAGACATGGGACTTCAAAGTGCCATGCAAGCACAGACACCCCTTTTTGGCCCAGCTCTGTCTTTGCTTATTGCACACCTGACAGCATATGAGACAGCAGGTGGGCATGGCTTGGCCAAATGGGGAGCATAATTGGGCCCACAGGCCAGAGACCTGCGGCCAGAGATTAGTCTGACTCAGACCCGTGTCAAATTGAGCCTCATTGCCCTGTTGGGTTTCCTTCCCTCTTAGTCTTCTTTCTTGCAAACCTCCCTTTATCATTGTCCCCTACTGCCCCTACCCCCCAAACAGCAGGCACTCCAGGGATTTGGTGTGGTTTTTCTGTCTTCAAAATTGACCGTGGAAATTGTCCTGTTTGTGGATTTTTTTATTGTTGATACAGTCACCCTAGGTTATTTAAAAGGTGTTCACAGGTATGCCATAGACATTGCCACAACCAGGAGAGGGATTGCATTGCTGCCCTGCTTTTCCTTCCTGCGTTTTGAACTCACTGGTTTTGCAGGTCTGCCAGTGTGAAGAAGAGCGAGAAGGCTGACCCGAAAGAAGATGCTACAAAAGCAGAAGAAAAAGATGAGAAGGGGAAAGAGGAGTCAAGAGCTGGATCGGTGGATCAGTCCAAGACACCAAAATCAGGTAAATCTACTAGGCTGCCGCATTGGGGGAGGGGGAAGAGTGTAAATGGCTGGTCACTGTCAGGTTTAGAACATCAAAACCAGATTTCGCTTTGAGTATCTTAATTCCCACCCCTGTTTTTATGTAGGAAGCAAGGGTACAGAAAGGACTGTGATAATGGATAAATCCAAAGGCGAACCAGTTATCAGTGTGAAGACAACAACTAGGTCAAAAGAGAGGGTAAGTGGAACCAGAGCATTTCCCTTGATATGTGTAACTATATAAAGGTTTAATGAAACATTCAACTTGGCTCAAAAAGTTTTAAGCTTCAGCTGATTAGAAGTACGTAGACCCTAGTAAATCTTAGACAATAGAAAGGGCAGAAGTTTAGATTGGGTTTTCTCTTTCCTTTATTAAAAAGCCACACAAATCTTGTCAGAAATTACCTTCATTTATGACTCCCTTGCTTCAGCTCTTTAAATTTTTTGTCCAGCGGGAGAAAGAGGCATCCAGTTATCAGTTGCCTCCTGCAACTACCTTGCAGAAACTTGCAACACAGGTTCAAAGAATTACGATAGTACCTTAAATTCTACTCAGAATAGACTCATTGGATTAATGCACTTAAGCCAGTTTTGTCTGTTAATTTATGCTCTATGATTTACACGTATATCATTATTATTTATTAAATTTGTATGCCGCCCTATACCCATAGATCTCAGGGTGGTTCGCAACGTAAAATTACAATATAAAAAACAAGCTATCGTTAGCTTACCAGCGCTGCCTAAAATTGAAGCATGTTCTGCCAGGGTTGCCTCTACCTCTGCGGCCTTTTCTACTAATGTTCCCTTAGCTGAGCTTGCAGGGCTGCAGTGCGATCTTCACCAGACATCGTTTCCGGATACTATAAAGATGGAGGTGGCTCTTCACAGGAGAGTGCTGTCCCTCCCATTGGATAGAGAATAGAATGGGATTCATCTAACCCAACCTAGGGCTGGGCAATATCTGCTTTTTAACAACATGATACATTAGCAGCTAAATATTGTGATACAGTGGTGCCTCGCAAGACGAAATTAATTCGTTCCGCAAGTTTTGTCGTCTTGCGAAGCACGGTGTCGGGAAAGTTTTGGAAAAGCTTCAAAAATCACCAAAGTCTTCAAAAACCTCAAAAAAGGCTACCACACCGCGTGCTATGAGTTGCTCCTCGAAGTCAAGTCGCAACTGTATTAACGGTGTTAAGAAAATGGAAACAAACTTGCAAGACGTTTCCGTCTTGCGAAGCAAGCCCATAGGGAAAATCGTCTTGCGAAGCAGCTCAAAAAACAAAAAACACTTTCGTCTAGCGAGTTTTTTTGTCTTGCGAGGCATTCGTCTTGCGAGGTACCACTGTATGTTGATATATCACAATGTCTGCAACAGATGTCAGTTGCTTCTTCCTCAACACCTTAGCCAGAAGGTTTGAGGACTTCCTTAAACTGCTCAGCGGCAGGACAGGAAGCTGTGTTATTGTGTTTTAATGGAATTTTTTAATTGTTTAGTTAAGTTACAGATATTTTGTTTATAGTTGAAGAGATAGCAAGTCATATTTGGCCAGGATTTTGGAAATGTGATCTGTATAGAAACATGAAATAATCATTTATTTTTAAAATTAAGTCCCTTTAAGTAAACTGGAACCAGATTTGGTCAATTTGAGTTGCCTTGTGCTCCAGGATCCCTTCTTGGAAGCCGATTCAGACTGTTAAGAGTATATCATTTTCTCATAGCAAATGGGCCCGCATTCATTAAGCCCACAAACAGCACAGGACACATTTGTGAAGGCTGTGCAGTAATTCTAAAATTTTGGTGTACTGCTCAATACCCACTACCTCACAGTGAAGACTACTTTGGTGCTTATAATGCTGGGAAATGTTTCCGTAAATTAGACATTTAAGAAATTGATTATCTCACTGGCATTCTGAAATTCAGCAAGAACAAATCTGGGCCACAGCTGGTCTTCTCAAAAATGGATATCAGGAATTCAGATCAGGGAAGAGCATCTCTTTCATCTGTAAAAGCATCAAATGGCTGATTCGGTTGGGCAGTTTGCAAATTGAAGGAACATATTGGGGTTGCTGAAGTCTAGTCTTTGTCAGTTGTCTTCCTAAGAACTTTTGGAGTTTGCCATTTTTTTGTGGCAACTGGATGTCATTTATTCTGGTGGTATCCTTACACGGGGAGCTCCCCAGGCCTTCAGTGATTTTGGACGGTGGATGTAAGATGCTCACATTAGTAGTCATAGGACCTTTGTTTTGCGAGGATGTTCTGTCTGGTTTAAACCTAGTTCCTCCTCATCTAGATATCTCATTTTAGTCCAAAAGCCTGGAGAAATCTCCCTGGGGGTGGTTTTCCTTTTAGGGGGCAATATACTGCCCTCCCTTATGTGTTGTGCTTTCATAATTAAAGGCGAGTTTATCTCTGCCTTTACCTGGAGGTTATGTGGACACCAATCTGCCGAGTTATATTCCTGTGTAGGAATCATTTTGGAGGAAATCTGGAGGAAATCTCACCCTCCTTGGTATCATTATATGCGTCTTTCCCAGCCGGTCTGTTTCTTAATGTTTCTGGTCTTTATAGAATTTCGGCTTGGATTGAGGACGGGAATGACCAGAATTGACTTACTAGAGTGTTTTCTTCTGTAGAGAAATTGTCCTTTCACTCGCTCACAGGGCATTCATATTGGGGTTGGGTTTTTTCCCCCCAGAGTGAAATTGCCCTAAAACCATACTTTTCTGTTAACTTTTTGCAATTCTGGGTGTTTTCATGTAGAGTGTCAAGAGCCAGGATCGCAAATCGGAGAGTAGAGAAAAAAGCAGAGAGAGGCCCTTCAGCAAAGGCAGAGATCAGAAACGGCTGAGCGAAGAGCCACACCGGTAAGATCCTGTTTTGGCAAAACAAAATTTGCTTCTCAAACAAATTTTCTCCACCACCACCGCCCTTCCCCTTCATCCTTCCCTTTTCCCTAAATGGTAAGCATGTGATATATATTTCTGTACTTGGGTCAGCACCTCACAGGCTAACAGTGAACAAATAGGGCGTGCGCACACCCCAGTTCAGCAACTAGTTTTGCTGGTGATCTACTATGGATGGACCTAGGTGTCAAGACCCCAAAATACCCTGCCTGCAGAACCACCCAGCCACAATCCATCGCTTTCTTTAGCCTTCTAGATTGGCAGTTGGGGCAGGCAGGCAAGCAGTGCTACTCGTGGAGACAGATTTGTTCCTAGAGGTTTCTGTGCTTGCTTGAGCCTCACCCTAATGGCTCATCTGTTAACACAACCTAACTCCTCCTACTCCAGGTCTGAAGTAGCATGCATCTTATTTTTAAACCTTGGCTCTGGTGGCTCTCTGTGGCAGGAGCCTAGAGAGCCAGAGGCAGCATCCGTAGCAGTAGATGTTTCCTCCCCACCTTCAGAGTGAGGAATAAAAGGGTTAACTTCACATACTTCATGTCGTGTCCACTCTGCCTTCAAATGTAGAACAAGGAGGTTCTGCCCTTGAGCTCTAGCCTGGACCACAACCTGTGCGTGTGTTTCCTATCTCACTCCGGCATAGGTAAAGGAAGACTTCTCTTGATTCTGGCAGAGCCTCTTGGTTGGCACTGACAACAGAGCCATTCCTACCTAGTAACAGCCTGTTCTGCTCACGATCATCTAGCTCTGGAGAGGAAAGGAATAAGCCTTGGGAATTCTGACACTTTCCTGCCAAATCTGGATCCTTTTTGGCTACAGGCCTGGAGAAAGGACAGCAGTTCGTCACCATGGCAGCCCTGTGACAGATTGCTCAGGGAGAGAGTTTTCTGGAACTAAGAACCAGGAACGACCAGCATCTTACATGCAGGCTCCACTTCTCCTCAAGATGCCTGAAACCCTCCTTATTCTTGAGACATTAAGCTGGTCATCCAGTCCTAGAGATTCCCTCAGAGTATTTCCCAGAAGATAACCAGATGCCTTGATTCTGTAAAATATCGCTCAAGAATCCAGGGAAAGGGAATTGATCCATGTTGGCTTGGGGAAGCTGGAATTCCAAATGTGCAGTTCCAACACCATTCCCTCCAGTTGTAATGTGCAAATGACTCCAGAATTCAGCAGTGACAAGGACACGGAGTCGGAAACTACAGTACTGCAGATTACCTTCCTGGGTGCCGCGTGTATACTTGAAATGTCGTGTAATGCAGAACACTCTGAAAATCCTGTAAGCGCCCTATAAACCTCTGGAAATCCAAAAACAAAAAACACCAAACTACCACAATTGCTCCTTCCAAACCTCCTTTCTCAAACTCCCAGTTCTCCACAGGTCTCAAAGGTCAGCGCAAAAGCTCATGGGAATGGTAGCCGTTGCTCACTCTTTTCGGTCCCTTTTTGCACCTTTTTGCAATGTATTTAATTATTTTCCAGTTCTGCATGTGCATGCAGTTGCACGCAAGTCGAACACATGTAACTGGAGAGACACAAGTACTAGCAAAAGAGCCAGACCAGGTTTCTGGCTCATAGCCTGGGCATTACTAAACCTGAAGCTGCCAGGCCCTCTGATGGAGCAAGACCTGAAGAAGCAGAGCCAAGATCCCTCACCAGGTGCCTTCCCTGGGCTGGAGAAGCAGTGCCTCCCTTGGTAACATTGCAGGTCTGGTAGTAGAGGGAGCAATGGAATGCAGGAGAAGTGCCCATCTTTCAGGCCAAATAATTGGCCGTTTTGACTACTCCGAAAGGGAGTGGACTGGAGGCAGAGTCCAAAAGGGCTCAGCTCAGAGCAAGATGCTCCCTTGGAGGCATCTTAGGTGCTGCAACAACAGACCTGCCTTGGCCGTTTGCTCCTCCACAAAGTCAAGCTATGTCCTCTTTGCTAATGCTCCAGCAGCTGCATGTTAATCTCTGGATCCTGGGGATAAGAAGAATGAACAGTGCAGAACTACTGTCAGATAATGGACCAGATGGGCAAATAGACTGGCCTGGTATAAATCAGCTTCCGGGTTCTCATCACCACCAGGGTTATACTCCCATGTCTACAGCGTCTCAGGTTCATGGTTTTCAACAGCTCTTCTCCATCTACAGACCCCCAGTGTCTAGAACTGCGTCAAAAGGGCTCTTTCTGTCTCCAAATCCCCCTCAGCTGTGTCCAAAATCTGCAAACCTCATGCAACAGGATCATGATTCAGTTCGATTCCAGAGCGCCCTGAGGAAGCAAGGAGGACTTCCACGCACGTAATAAATCATTTCTTGGGATAGAGGGTCTCCTTTATTTATGTTTCTGCTGCCCACATATTCCCCAGCTGAAACTCAATTGTAGTTTAAAGATTTTCCCCAGCCCAGCCCGAAAACCCTTGGAACGCAACCCCTGACCTGTTACAGCGCAATTCTAATCATGTCTACTCAAAAATACTGTTGAAATCAATCCCAGGTAAGTGAGGCTAGGATTGCAGCCTTTGAGAACTTACCCAGCAAGTGGTGGTTTTGGTGCACCTCATGCGCAAGGATGTGGGGAAAGCATCTCACATCAGCCAAGCAAGAAAAAAGAAGAGGCAACTCGGCCGCTCACTGGCACAAACAATCTTTCATGCAGTTTGACATGAAGACAAAGACTTCCTTCTGGTGCTTGAAAAACCTGGTGGTTCTTCAGATTCTTATCTACATTAGTAACTTTGTATCAATGTGACATTTTTATATGTAATTGTATTTTTGTAATACAGTGGTATCTCAGGCTAAGTGCTTAATTCGTTCCGGAGGTCCATACTTAACCTGAAACTGTTCTTAACCTGAAGCACCACTTTAGCTAATGGGGCTTCCTGCTGCCAGAGCACGATTTCTGTTCTCATCCTGAAGCAAAGTTCTTAACCTGAAGCACTATTTCTGGGTTAGTGGAGTCTGTAACCTGAAGTGTATGTAACCTGAGGTACCACTGTACTTTTAAGAGGTCTGTTGTTGCTTCAGTTCTTTGTACGCCACATTTTAAATATCTCAAGCGGCATAGAAATGAAATAATAAACGATGCTGCGAAGAAGCGGCTTGAAACGTTATTTTCTCTTTCCGCCCCCTGCCAGGTGCCAACCTGAATAAAATGGGGGGGGGGGTTTAATCCCCACCCTGCATAATTGATCACAAGACGCAGCGCACACCCACCCACCATTGAATGGCAATGTCCATGAATTTTGGCCTCAAATATTTTATTGAGAGGCTTGAGGGACCTCGGCCCCTAGGAGTTGGCTCCTATGCCCCCTGTCCATCTTTAGTTTGTCAAGGGTTTGTGCTGATTTCATGATGACACTTCTGTTCGCAGACCCATCATTTTGCCCCCATGGTGATCAGTTCTCCCCTTGCCCTAAGGGTTTTCCCAGTCCTTCCTTTCTTAAAGAGTAATCTTCATTTATCATGTATTTGCTTGTATTTATATCTTGCCTTTTCTCCGAGGAGCTCATGGCAGCAACATCCTCTGCTCCTTTTTATCCTCTGTGAGTACCATGCTGGCAAAACCTAGGCATTGAACGTGTCTCCAGGACATATATGTTGAAGACATTAAGGCATTCTGACAGTCTGTATCCTATTGTTCTTTAGTCGCTGTGTTTGTGAAGGCTGTAGAAGGATTTTGTTGAGTACTTGGTTTAAATTGTGTAAATTTTAGGTTGTGTTTTCAGCGTCTCTGTATGCTGCTTGAAAAAACTTAGTCGCATGCACCATATCCAAATGTGGTAAATAAAATTTTTAAATACAAGCCTATCCCTCAGGAGTCGAGGCCCCTTAGGTCCACCCTCAGCAGGCAGATTGGTTTAGCGTAAGAAGTCAGTAGGGGGAAACGGCACTAACAGGATTGCTGCCCACCCAGTGCGCCTCACAACCACTTTGACCATGGGTAGGTAAACTAAGGCCCAGGAGCCAGCCCAATCGCCTTCTAAATCCGGCCCGCGGACGGTCCAGGAATCAGCATGTTTTTACCTGAGTAGAATGTGTCCTTTTATTTAAAATGCATCTCTGGATTATTTGTGGGGCCTGCCTGGTGTTTTTACACAAGTAAAATGTGTGCTTTTATTTAAAATGCGTCTCTGGGTTATTTGTGGGGCATAGGAATTTGTTCATTTATTTTTTAAAAAAATACAGTCCGGCCCCCCACAAGGTCTGAGGGACAGTGGACCAGCCCCCTGCTGAAAAAGTTTGCTGACCCCCTGACTTTGACCATTTGGGTGTGCTGCTGGAAGGACTCTCCATAAGACTGCTGCCTTGGCCGCACCCCTCCTTGTTTCAGGCATCACATTATCTCCCTCATGCCCCTTCAGATCCCTTCTTCAGCAGGAAGGGTCCTCCTAACAGGCTCTCTTTAATTCCACCCTGTGATGTAGACGCTTTTCTTGTACATCCCTTTTCTGCCTCTTGTGCTGAGCGAATGTGAATGGAGGTATATGGCATGAGGTTCTCTTCTGAACATACAGGAGAGCAAGCAGACCTACAACTACCATCACTGCCAGCCATCATAGAGGGCTGTGCTGTGAGGCTTATGTAGGCATTCATGTGAGTGTGGAGAAGTTTTGTTATGTTTTTGCCACATACAACACCTTTTTTAAGGGTCACCTGGGAGTCCTTTAATTGTTAATGGTTTTGTGAGGACTTTTGTAAAGTCCTGCACCTCCTCCACATCCTGAAACAGAAGTTTCACTCCTGGTTTGGGATGTCAAAGTTTACTGGCTCTGCTTTTTGATGGAAGCAGAGTTTAATCTTTTTACTACCTGCGCTCCCACATGCTGGAAAGAAGGAAACAGAATGGTAAGTCTCTTTACCTTTACAGATTTAGGCAGCTATTGAAGACACAAATCTTCTCCTTGGACTCTCAACGATTAGGCTCTTATTATAGTCAAAGCCTCTCATTTTCTGAAACTTGGGAAGCCACAATCCCATCAAGTTTGAAAATAGATCCTTTATGTGCTCTGCCTATTTAATTACATAATCTGTGCATCAAGAAATAAGTAAATCATGTGGTCTGATGTTAAGAACTTTGTACAAGCTTGGTTTGTGCAAATATTTTGTTGCTGCTTCTGCCTGAAAATGGAAGGTGGCTCAAATTACTTCTGCTGTTTGTACAATTCCTGTTGTTTGGAGGGGGGTGGCTTGTCCAGTTAAGCTCTGGCTTAAGAAAATATGCCTTCCTCGGACCATAAAGACTCAAACTCATGTGAGTTCTATCTCATGTGAATTGAACATAGTAGGAAATCATCTTCAGTGAGGAGGGCTAGAGAGAATGAAAGATGTTTGGTATTACCATTTTGGAGCAGTTTGTTACAAGACACATAGGCACACTCCCCCCCCCCCCATATATATATGTGGTTAAAAATAAATTGAAGTGGGGTGTTGTTCTTCCTTCAAAATAATGTAGCTGTTCAGCTGAAACCACAGCAGTACAAAAAAAAAACCAAACAGATGGAGCAGTTGAATAAGCATCCATTTAAAGGTACAACTGTTTTGTTCCCAAAGGAAGCCCAAAGCAGCTAACAGCAGAAAGAAAGCAGCTCAATCAATAAAAAATAGCAGAATACTGTAATCAAAATATCAGAATAATGCTTTGTTAACCAAACTTAACCAATATTCAGATGTAAAACAAATCAAAGCCACCTTTTTGTCAAGCGCAGTAATACAATAAATAACGACAACAGCCTTGCCTTCTGGCCTTGATGTCCCCAATGTTACCTTCGTTCCCATGATGTTGGGAGCTTGTGTTCCACAGAGGTGATCCCATGCTACCTGTGGGCTGAATATCTTTTCAAGCCTGTGCTTTCTGCCCCCTCCCCATGGGTGTTGTGTAAGGCAGGTGAAGCAACAATTGGACCTGTTAGAGGGATGCTCTAGACGCTGCTCTAGATAGTCCCAGTCAGCTGGCTGCTCAGTGCCAACAGGAGCGAGAGGAGCACTGGGAGTGATGCAAAATAAGTAGCAGCCTTAGGCCCCTGGGTTTCCAGCTCCTCACCCTGCCAATGTCAGCATTCCACTGCTTCCACCATTGCTAGAGCCCCCTCTGCAGGCTGATGGTCTCTGCTTGAAGGCTGCATACCACAGGGTAAGAGCCAAAGGGCTGGCGAGGCAAGGGCTTTTTACCTGTAGAGAGAGGAAAGGAAACAAGACACACCCTCGGAAGCTGCCCCACTTCCGACAGACTTTCCCTCTCGGCCTTAAACCTTTACATGGGCGCTAAGGCTTCCATCTGTGGGGGGTGGGCCTTCATAAAATTTCACCCGCCTCCTTTTAAACCAGGAACCGTGATCGGCAGAAGCAGCGCTTGCACTCCATCTGGGAGCAAGAGGAGCGCGAGAGGCTGGAGATCACCCGGGAGAAGCTGGAGTTTGAGCGGTCGCGCCTGGAGAGAGAGCGGATGGAGAGGGAGCGCCTGGAAAGAGAGCGCATGCACATCGAGCGTGAGAGGAGGCGGGAGCAGGAGCGCATCCAGCGCGAGAGGGAGGAGCTGCGCCGGCAGCATGAGCAGCTGCGCTACGAGCAGGAGAGGCGGGTGGCCCTGAGGAGGCCGTATGACATAGACGGGAGGTAAAGCTCATCTCTCCCCGTGAGCAGACTTCAGGAAATCCCTCTGGTTGTAGAGGGAGGCGTGGGGAACTTGTCATAGTCCCAACAACATCTAGAGTTGGATTCAGTGTGGTGCCTTTAGCTAGGCAAGCACCGTCTTCCTACCAGCCTGCAAACTGCATATATGTGCTTTTGGAAGCCGGAAGGAGCAGGGGAAATGGGGGGAGAGGGGTAAGTGGATTTCTTCGGTGACCACACCACTGTGATGTTTGTGACAGATTTACCCAACGATTTACTAACGATTTTAACTGTTTACAATGGTTTTTAAGATAAATTATAAGTTTCCCCCATTCCTTATTAAACATTTGGGTCTTCCTGATTTCCGATTCTTCCGGTCATTTTAGCCATTTCAGCACAACCCATCAGTTTAGTAGGATTGGTAGTTTAATGGTGAATTTTGGACACAATGGAGAGGTTAAAAGATTTGGATTATCATAAAAGGTGCAGGAGGAAATGATTAACAGTAGGACCCGCAAAGAGGAGGAGGGAAGTCCAGGAGATTCTTTAGAATCTTGCTGTATAACTTTACACATGCGTAGAAATTGAGTCCCATTCTTAGAGGAAAAGCATACCTGCGAGAAGGAACAGGATGCTTCCTGTCTATCAGACTAGCTCCAGGACATGTTTTTCCTGTCTGAACATTTTTGGCACGTTACTAATACAGTCTTGAGTCAGCAGATTTCCTTAACAATATCCTTTCATGCTCTTTTTAGGCTTTCTTACCAAAGCATATACTAGAGGTCTGCAGGCGTTTGAAGAGCTGTATCTATCCTAGCAAGTCAGGACATTCCACGCAGTTTGCACTGCTCCAGTGGGAAACCTAGAAAACGGTCTTATAACTGATCAGGCTATTCGTTCAGTTTTGCTATCTCATGCCAACAAAGGTCTGATGTTGAGGGAATCAGCCCTTTTTTCCCTTTGCCACAGCAGGGGCTTTTATCATCAAATTGTAACGACCGTTGCATAGCCTGATTAAATAAATAACAAAGCATTGGGAGGAGGCGAATACTTGGGGGCTTAATTTAGATTAAAGCAGGGCGTAGCCACTGCAGTGACCTCCAGGTTCTGTTGCATCATCAACTACATCTTGCATCATCCCTGCCTGTCAGCCATTCTGGCTGGGGTTGATGGAAGTTGAGACAACATCTTAAGGGGGCCACATTAGCTGCCCCTGAGTTAAAGCATTCAGTTAAGTAAATTAAGCTGTTTGAGTGATATTATATGTACTTTAGCGATTGAGGAGCAGAGTATGGTAATCTCTTCTTTATCAAAGCCATTTTATTGTCCATGGGATGTCTTTATTTCCTTCGATCTGGTTTTGTCGTGTTGATATATCAAGAACACAGAGTGGCCAGAAATCTCCTGTCTTGACCTCTTCCTCTACCTCCTTCCTGCCCCCCTGCAGGAGAGACGAACCATATTGGCCAGAGGCAAAGCGGATGGCGTTGGATGACCGCCATCGCTCGGATTTCAGTCGCCAGGACCGGTTCCATGACTTTGATCACAGGGATCGTGGGCGGTACCAAGACCATTCCCTGGACAGGTGAGCCAGCAGAGTGAGGTCCAGCACCGAGGGCCTTCTGGCGGTTCCCTCACTGCGAGAAGCCAAGTTACAGGGAACCAGGCAGAGGGGCTTCTCGGTAGTGGCGCCCTCCCTGTGGAACGCCCTCCCACCAGATGTCAAAGAGAACAACAACTACCAGACTTTTAGAAGACATCTGAAGGCAGCCCTGTTTAGGGAAGCTTTTAATGTTTGATGTATCACAGTATTTTAATATTCTTTTGGAAGCCGCCCAGAGTGGCTGGGGAAGCCCAGCCAGATGGGCGGGGTATAATAAATTATTATTATTATTATGATAAGCTTTGCCTCCTGCTGGAGGAGATGCTTATCTATAATAATTTATATGCCTTCAACAACAAAAATTCCCTAAGCTGGTTACACAGCTCAATTTCTGAATTGTGTTTTACCCAGGCAGAAATTTCTGAGAAGGATCGTCTGGGGCGGGGGAGATGTGAAGAGTACAGTGTCATTCCTACCTAGGGCATCCTAGTTAAAAGGTGTGGTATTTATTTGGGCACCTGCAAAATGAGCCAGTGTTCACTAGCAAAATGCCTTCTGTGGAGAAGGGAGACGGGGACCTGTTACTTTGCAGACTGGGTGGCTCTAACAAGCCTACACTGAGATGCCGTATCAGTCAGCCCTCGAGTCTACCTGTAACTCCTCTGGCAGGGAGAGCCTTCTCACCACCTGCTGGAGAATCCACACACCTCCTTGCAGCTTTCTGTGTATTGTAACAGTAAGCTGCTTTGGGGATCAGCCTTGGATTTAAAAAGCAAGATATAAATCTGGGAAGAGGACTCTTCAGGTGTTGCTAGGCTACATTTCCCTGACCTTTTGGGGCTGAAAGGAGTTCTAGTCAGCTTGGGGAGGTACAGTTTCTGCACCCTAGGATAAATATGGATTCTATCCTTAAGCAAATGTTGCAGTTGAGTGAGCGTAGCACGGATTTCTTCCTCTATCCAGGTGCCCCTTTAACCTTTGTGCATAGCAGGTAACAGTTTAGCGCAAGAGCCTGATGTCGATTGTATTGTTCTTTCCAGGAGAGAAGGGTCACGAGGAATAATGGGAGAGCGAGACGGACAGGTGAGCTGCGTTGGTTGTGAGCCTGGTAGTGCAAAACCACTTAAGACTAAACGGCGCTTCCTTTTTCGAGTGCATGACACCATTTCCTGTCTCTGCTCCTGCAGCATCACACAGACGACCACCATGGGGGACCAGAACGCCACTCCCGGGATGGCTGGAGCAGCTATGGGTCTGACAGGCGCTTGAGCGAGGGACGGGGAATAACCCCACATTCCCGGTGAGTGTACTCAGGTGGTGGTGGAGCAGCGCTTAAGTCTTAGTGTCCTTGCATATATAGAGCAGCTTAGCTGTTGAATACAGTGGTGCCTCGCAAGACGAAATGAATCCGTTCCACGAGTGTCTTCGTCTAGCGGTTTTTTCGTCTTGCGAAGCAACCCTATTAGCGGCTTAACGGATTAGCGCTATTAGCGGTTTAGCGGCTATTAAAGGCTTATCGGCTTAGCGGATTAGCTGCTAAAAGGCTATTAAAGGCTTAGCGGCTTAGATAAGGGGGGGGGAGCGGGGAAAAAAATCTCAAGACTCGCAAGACATTTTCGTCTTGCGAAGCAACTCAAAAACGGAAAACCCTTTCGTCTAGCGGGTTTTCTGTCTTGCGAGGCATTCGTCTTGCGGGGCACCACTGTAGTTCTGTTGCCCAAGAGGCTCACAGTTGAAGAAAGGAGTGTGTTTTCAGCGGGGCAGAATAATCAATCATAATCATAGAATTGCATATGAATAAATAATACAAATAATCATAGAATTGCAGAGTTGGAAGGGTGTAGACCCGTAGTTCCCACAGGGGGCAATTTTGATTTTTAAGGGGGGCAGTTTGAGAATGAGTTGTTAACAGTTAATGGCCTTTTAGGCTCTCTCTACATGGATAGTTCACTTTTTGAATAAGAAGAATTATATGTCGGTGGGGGTGCGGTGCATCAGGATTTTAGAGGTGCTTAGGTGAGGCATGGCCAAAGAAAGGTTGGGAACCACTGGTCTAGACCCAGGGGTCATCTAGTGCAGCCCTTTGCAATGCAGGAATAAGAGGTTGGGTAAATAATGTTGCTGAAAACACAATCAGCTTTAAAAGAAAAAGAAATATTGGATCTTCATTACCAATCTGCATTTGAAACAAAAAGCAGTCTTGTTTTTTAGATTACTCCTGCTGACATAACAGGCAATCTTAGATGGTCCGATCCTAAAGGGAGGGTGTTTTTCAAGATAGTGCTTGCCATCTACATTTTTCTTTTTTAAGTACTTGTATCTGTTATAAAAAAAAAAGGCTGCTGTAGCGTAAGGTGTTTGTTTTTCTTTTTTTAAAAAAAGTTGATTAACTAATTAAAAGCCCTGCTTTTATTCCGCCTTGAGAAGACACTCAAGACTTGCTCTTTGGCGAGTTGCTGAAGAAAGTGTATTCTGCAACTGAGGGGGTCAGGCACTAGGAATGTCACTCTGTGGGCGCTTGGCAGTCCTGACTCGGCCTAAGTTGGAACTTAGGTTGAGCCTTCGTTGTGGCAGAACATGAAGGCTTTGGGGCTGCTTTAAAGCTTCTTTGGTCATCAGCACACCGAAGTGAGCCCAGAAGGAAACGGGGAGACCATTTTGGAGCTCCGATACATTCTGCCCAAGCACCTTCTGAACGAAGAGGTGCAGGATCCTGCAGCAGCTGGAGATTCTGAGCCATCATAATAGAATTTGATTTGCATGATCTTACCTAAGGACATTAAAAACTGCCTTGCAGCAGCAGGGTTTGCCAAGCTTTTTGGGTCAGGAGGCACATTTGGAATTTTGACAGGGTGCTATGGGTGCCAGTCACAAAATGGCTAGAGTGGGGGCGTGGGGGCTGCCACATCTAAAAGAGCAGCAAAGTGAACTGAAGCATGAAATGGTGTTGGCATGCCTTTACCTGGTGCAGTTTTTCTAGAAAAAGAGGTTCCAGAACTCTCCATGGACGCCTTCCTTGTTCTCTTGCAACGGCAATGGCGCCTATCTGACAGATGCTGGAACTGAGTTCCCTGGCCCATTGAGGGGGAAGGCGCTGCCCCTGCTCAGCCATCAGCTCGTCCCGTTAGAAGCTGTGGGATCTTCACTGGTCAGGGACAGATGGGAGAGGGGGCATCCAGTCCTGGCATGCAGTGAAATGTGGGCTTGTTTCAAGGTGTGTGTTTGGTATAGGAGAGGCCGATCCAGTGCAAACAGGAACTGAGCAGGAATTGCAAAACGGCCTCTCATTTTGGATGGGATACCCAGAGAAGCCTTTCGTGGGCAGCCAAGGACGCGGGTGGCGCTGTGGGTTAAACCACAGAGCCTAGGACTTGCCGATCAGAAGGTCGGCGGTTCAAATCCCCGCGACGGGGTGAGCTCCTGTTGCTCGGTCCCTGCTCCTGCCAACCTAGCAGTTCGAAAGTACATCAAAGTGCAAGTAGATAAATAGGCACGGCTCCGGCGGGAAGGTAACTGGCGTTTCCGTGCGCTGCTCTGGTTTGCCAGAAGCGGCTTAGTCCTGCTGGCCACATGACCCGGAAGCTGTACGCCGGCTCCCTCGGCCAGTAAAGCGAGATGAGCGCCGCAACCCCAGAGTCGGCCACCACTGGACCTAATGGTCAGGGGTCCATTTTAGGAGGCATCAGCAGACCCACAGATGCCACTCCAGTCACCTCTGTCTTGATGGAGTGAGGCCTAGTCCCTGCATCCCGTTTCCAACCTCTGGCAGCTATGGTACTCCCAAAAAGTATCCCAAGCATAGCACGACAGCAATGCTGTCCTCCACTGCCTGTCCCCAAAATCTGGTATTCAGTGGTGGAACACAGAGGCTCCATTTTTCTATCATGGCCTAGAGAGAGAGAGAGAAAGAAACTTTCAGGAAATACAGCTATCAAAGTTTAGAATTCAAAATATTTGTCTATATGTGTTTTGAAGGGATTTAAGTGTTTTCTTCTGCAGGTAGATTAAAAAACAGTGTCTTTAAAATAAAATAAACCTCGCACTTCTTTTTTTTTCCAGAGATGGGCGTGACTGGGGGGATCATGGTAGAAAATTCGAAGATCGCTCCTGGCAGAGCAACAATGGGGGTGCGATGGGGCGAGATCATGACCGGTGGCGAGGTAACTCTCTTCCTGTTCAGCTGTTGGGTTCTCTCTCTCTCCCCGCCCCCAGGGATGCTGATGCTAAGCTCTACTCAAAAGTAGCCGCATAGAAATCAGTGGACCCAAGGCCCAGTGGTGGGTACTTGTCCGAAGAGCCTGTTAGATAGACAAGGGAAGGGTGGAAGAGAGAAATCCATTGGAGCAGTGTTTCTTCACTAGGGACGATATCTGAAGGTTGGGGAGAGTGTTTCCAAAAACATGTACTGCAGAAGTAAGAAAAATTAAAAGTCGCAAAATTTCAATCCATTCGAAAACTGAAATAAAATACTTAAGAGGAGCTAAGTTTTAAGGGGGACGTGGGATTTTTATGTTGGCTAAAGGGGCAGATGGGCTTCAAAAGGTTGGGAGACACTGAGCAGCAGGGCACGTTTGTTGTTACGTGGAATCCTGTGAAATTTGCCAAGCTGCTGTCTCTGCCTCAGTTCCTGCTCTGTAAAATCGAAGCATTTATTGCCCTACTCGATAAGGGGTACCACCAGGACACTTTAGCCTTGCAGGCTCACAATCTCTCTGCTTTCAAAGCTCTCTCCCCCCCCCCCCCCGGCCGCCTTTTGTTGGCCTTTTTGCTGTAGTTCTAGGGAGAAAAACATGATAAACTAGGCTGAGAGCATCTCAGATGTATTTAGTATGCCCTGCCCTTAAACTTCCTCTTGGTTTTTCCCCAGGTGGGGGCAGAGGGAGGCGTGGCCACATCTTTCATCGAGGTGGAATGTCTGGGTAAGAAGCTTCTTTCAGCCTTGCCTTCAGAATTACTTACTTCGTAAAATTAATAATTGTTGTTATTACTGTTCTATATTTATATATACCCTGCCTTTTTCCCTGACAGGGACTCAAGAGACTTACACACAGCTTGATTGTAAAACAAAAACCCTCAAATCACGTTTTTTAAAAAAATAAAATAAAATGATTGGTTAAAACAAGTTTTAAAAAATCAATTTAAAGCATTAAAAAAATTAAAATAAGTAATAAAGCAACTACATTTGTCTTTTTTCCTTGTTCTGTGTTGCATCCAACTGCTCTCCCCCCCCCTCCCCGCCCCGATCTCAGAACAACTCTTTCCAAATCTACCTCCCAGCTTCACTAATAAGAGTGACTGTTTTTTGGCATTGCATTACCTAATTGCTGCCTTACACACACATCCTGTGAGGTCTGGTGGCACTAGAGATGCCACTGCCATTTAATTTCCTGTTCTATCTGAGCGTTATCTAGTTGACAGTTCTTGTTGCATAACCTCCTCCTCCAACAAGGCCAAACAAACCCACAGCTCCATTGCTGCTGTTGCTCCTTTCGAGTTCTGCAGTGTTGCTTTCTCTTTTTTTAAAAAAAAAAGTTCAGTTTTAACTATTTCACGTTCGCCTTGGCTTATCACACCTTTATTTAAAGAAAAGAAAAATATTGTGCACAAGCGCAGGTCAAAAACTTGATTTCCAGGTGCGGGAAACTGCAGTAGGGAAGAGAGGGCTCGATTCATGTTTGCAGGTTTCCCACGGGTGTCAGGTCAGCCTCTGAGAACAGGGGGCTGGACTAGATGGGCCCATTGGCTTGATCCAGAAGGTTCATCTGTTAAGTGTTTGACCCAGTCTTGCTCACGAGGGCAAGAGTTTCCTTGTCACTTTCCCTGCACCTGGTGCTCAAATGGACCCCTGCCACACAACCCCCAAAGCTTCAGGACCCCGCTGCAGATTTGAGTCCTGGCAGACTTGCAATATGCAAAAACTTTTGCTCATTTGTTTTTTCCCCAAATTTTTTTATTGATTTTCCAAAAATTTAAACAAACAAACATAAATCTCAACCCTATTTAAACCAATCGTAGTGACATTGTTAAGTGACTTACTCGAATCCCCCTAGTTGAATTTCAGTGTATATCATTTTTAAGTTTTCCAAAACCAATTTTCTTATAAAATTAACTTAATCACTTAACATCTTTCTTTCTTTCTTTCTTTCTTTCTTTCTTTCTTTCTTTCTTTCTTTCTATTTTAGCTTTAAACATATTAATTCCTAACATTACATATTTAAATCCTAAGCTTTTGATATTTGCAAGCTTTTCCAATTAAGTTATTTTAACATATTGAACTAAGTAGTCTTTGAATTTCATCCATTCCTCCTGGTACTCCTCCTCCTTCTGGTCACGGACTCTTCCAGTCAGGTCGGCTAGCTTCGAAAAATCCATCATCTTCATCTGCCATTCCTCCACTGTTGGGACTTCTTGTGTTTTCCAATTCTTAGCTAACAAAATTCTTGCTGCAGTTGCGGCATACAAAAACAATTTAACATCTTTCTTGGGCAATTCCAAACCTGTTATTCCAAGAGGAAAGGCCTCTGGTTTCTTAATAAATGTACCGTATTTTTTCGCTCTATAAGACGCACCAGACCACAAGACGCACCTAGTTTTTGGAGGAGGAAAACAAGAAAAAATATATTCTGAATCTCAGAAGCCAGAACTACAAGAGGGATCGCTGTGCAGTGAAAGCAGTGATCCCTCTTGCTGTTCTGGCTTCTGGGATAGCTGCGCAGCCTGCATTCGCTCCATAAGACGCACACACATTTCCCCTTACTTTTTAGGAGGGAAAAAGTGAGTCTTATAGAGCAAAATATACGGTATATTTCAACATTTTTTTCAATTCATTATAAATCTTCTCCCAGAAGTCTTTCACCTTGGGGCAGGTCCACCACATATGATAAAAGGCACCCTCCTTTTCTTTACATTTCCAACATCACTGTTGTGGTAAACCTTTGCTAATTTTACAGGGCTTAAGTACCATCTATACATCATTTTCCATAATATTTTCCTTTCACACCGTACATGCAGTGAACTTGACCCCTTTCTTCCACAATCTTTCCCAGTCTTCAAGCGTTATGTTGCGTCCCACATCTCTTGCCCAGTCTATCGTCACAGATTTAACTTGTTCATCCTTTGTATGCCATTCCAACAACAAATCATACATTTTAGGCAAATGTGTTAACTTTAGAGTCCAACAACTCCATTTCCAACTTAGTTTTTGTTTGTTTCATGTTGGTTTGTGATCCCTTCCTTAGGCGGGGAGGATTCTTGCCAAGTGCTCCGCCAGCCCAGCCATCGCACAGCGGAGAGTCACAAGAAGAAGGCTTCTCCGGACAAGACAGAGGAAGCAGGCCTGGCGACCCTCGCTTCAGCCGCCGCTATTGAATGTTCCAGCGTTGTTGTTTTTTTTTAACTGTACAAATGGCAACAGATGGGGGGGAAACAAACACACACACACACACACTACTGCTACTCCTCCCCACCCCCACCCCCAGTGTACCACTGACTGTGACTTTTAAGTTAACCTTCATTGTTTTACTTCATAGCTCGATATGTGAAAGAAACAAAAGCCATTCGGGGTTTTTGGTAACGTGTATTTCTGTATGTGATCCTCCCCCCCCCCCCCCGCACACACACGCAAATTTGCCCTCCTCTTCCCCCCCCCCCCCTCATTAAAAGAAAATGTTTCTTTTACGGGGCATTCCATTTTCTATAAATAAATAAATAAACCCAGTTTACAATTACGTGACAGCTGCTTTTTTTGGAAGTCTTTTCATGATCTTGGTTCCCCCCCCCCCAATCGCATATTTTGAGGAGGGGTGTTGGAATTTCAATCAAAGCTAGAGAATAGGAGGGTGAATGGAGCGGTCTTAAATTTGAAATCAGTTTTTTGCTCCTGTTGGAACTGGGAATAGATCTTTGGTTGAGTAACGAGTCTTATATATTGCTTATCTGGTGACATGTTCAGCAGGCAATAATTTTGAACACATACACAGTAGAGGTGTGCTTCAGATTCAAGTGAGCTTCTTTGAGTAAGTGTCCTCTCATACTGCATCACGGTGTGGTACGCTGCTTTGACATCATCTGATAGGAAGTGCCTACAGAGGGTGGTGAATACAGCACAAGATACTATGGGCTGTCCCGTGAATCCGCTGGATGAAATAGCGGAAGAAGAGTGAGGGAAATTCTCAGGGATGATTCACACCCTGGCTGGCACTTTCTTGATCTCCTGCCTTCAGGCAGAAGATATAGAAGCACGATTAGTCGCACCAACAGGGTAAAGAACAGCTTCTATCCGTGGGCTGTTAGACTGCTGAATGGAAAGATAACAACAGGGCAACTGACTTTGGGGTTTGGTGGGTGTGCGTCAGTAAACGAGGGGAATTAAGACTTAAGCTGAGTGGGGGGTGCTCGTGTAATCTCACTGCATACAAGTTGTACAAGTGGCAATAAAGTATTTCAATTTGGGACGTGTGGAGCTTGTCTAAAGCAGGATCTTTCCGAAGCGCAGACCTTGATAGCAAGTTGAAGACAGTGTCCAGTGTTACTCCTGCCCAGAAACAGACCTGTGGAAATTGATCAAAACAACTAACTCAAATCCATTCCTTTCAGTGGTTCTGTTCTGAGTACCCATTGAAATTGCTAGACCTAAGTCAGGTGTGTCAATTTTAATGCTTACTCTTGAGTACGGCTCATGTTGGATACAACCCAGTGTGTCTGCAAAAACTGACATGTTTCTTCTGCTTGCCATGAAAGGGAAAGGCCTGGTTGGGTAGATTTGGGGACAAGTTGGGGTGGGGAGTGACCCTCAGACACCAAGCCCAAACCCCAATCTTATAACAATACATAAAACATCCCAGTGAAGCACGTGCGGTAGGGGGTGGCAAATATCCTCTACCTCCAGGACCGCAGTCCTTCATGGGCAACCTTCCAAAGGCCACATGTTGGTCAGGGTCAGAAGCAAAATCCCAGACACTGGTCAGAGGTTTCTACAGGGGCAGCGAGAGAGTGTAGCCGTCAGGGGCAGCTGGGGGAGGAAGCATTGCTCACCTGGCTTCCCAATGTGCTTCAAAGGGAGCCAGAGCAACCAGGCCGTAGAGAAATTGGTGCTCGGTAGGCTAAGCAGTGGCACCAATCCGACACTCGTGCTGTTGTGCCGGTGCCCACCTCCCCACTGCTGGTGGTGGTGTCACTGTTCAAGCCATGGGTAGGCAAACTAAGGCCCGGGGGCCGGATCTGGCCCAATCGCCTTCTCAATCCAGCCCGTGGACGGTCCGGGAATCGGCTTGTTTTTACCTGAGTAGAATGTGTCCTTTTATTTAAAAAGCATCTCTGGGTTATTTGTGGGGCCTGCCTGGTGTTTTTACCTGAGTAGAATGTGTGCTTTTATTTAAGTTGCATCTCTGGGTTATTTGTGGGGCCTGCCTGGTGTTTTTACCTGAGTAGAATGTGTGCTTTTATTTAAGTTGCATCTCTGGGTTATTTGTGGGGCATAGGAATTCATAGGTCTGAGGGACAGTGGACTGGCCCCCTGCTGAAAAAGTTTGCTGACCCCTGACTTAAGCACACATTGTAGCCAGGCGCATGAGGAGGGGATGTGGCAATGCCACTGAAGGGTGTGGTCTGGTGGGAATCCTGAAGGCCAGATTGTGAGGGTGAAAGACAAGGCAAAGCTTAACAGTGCAGTACTTTGCACATGAAATAGTATTGTTGCCCTCCCAAGCAGTGCCTACATTTTCCCTGGTTTGGTTTCCTTCGAATGAAGGTCAATGGAGGCTGACACAAAGTCAATAAGACCCCTTGGAACCGCCCCTAACTTAATAGGCTCTGGGGAGGTCATGCGAGGCCTCTGGGAAGCTGTGGGAGTTTCCCAGAGGCCTCATGCAATCTTCCCAAAGCCCAGTAAGCAAGGCGGATAGCTCAAAAACTTTCCTTACCAGGAAAACAGCACAGGGAGAGCTTTTTAAAGCCTTTCTTACAGGGTTCCAGATAGGTCATATGAAATCTCGGGACCACCTCTCCAAACTGTTCCTTCCCTTTCCATTATTTATTTTCACACCACCTGGGCAAAGCTGTAACCATGCAAGCACCGTATTTTTTGCTCTATAGGACGCACCGGACCATAGAAGGGGGAGAACAGGGGGAAAAAATTCTCCCCCTCTGCTCAGCGCTCCTTCAGTGAAGCGGCAGGAGAAACGGACCCCCTTCCATTGCTCCCCCCGCTTCGCTGAAGGGGCGCTGCACAGCTCTCTCTCTCTGCTGATGCCAGGAGAGTCTTGCTCTCCCGGCTTCAGCAAAAGGAACCCGAAGCCTTTGGAGTGCATTGTGAGGTCCCGCTGCTCTCCAAAGGCTTCAGGCGGCTATCCCTGAAGCCTGGAGAGCGAGAGGGGTCGGTGTGCACTGACCCCTCTCGCTCTCCAGGCTTCAGCGAAAGCAACGCATAGCCTCCGGAGCGCGGTGGGAGCGCTCCCTCTGCGCTTCGGAGGCTTCGCTTTGCTATCGCTGAAGCCAAGGAGCCTGCATTCGCTCCATAGAACACACACACATTTCCCCTTAACTTTTGGAGGGGAAAAAGTGCGTCTTATAGAGCAAAAAATACGGTAAATCATACACAAGTTGTCTGTCTACTTGTATATACTGCCTGAGCATAAGGTCAAAGGGTTCACAGCATTAACACGCCAGTAGATTTTCCCCATTAGGAGGTTTCCAGGGAAACCCCAAGCCGCATGGCTTTGGGTCCAAAACCGAGCAAGGCAAGCCTGTGTCTCCAGCATCAGTCAAAGCACACACACACCGGCATACTGACCTCCTCAGCTGCTAAGCAAATCAGTCTCTTAAACTTAAGCCAAGAAACAGTATTCTTTATGAAATTGAATATCAATATACATATCAAGGCTTTGAGATTAGACCACTGAAGAAGCCCGGAAAACTGCATTGGGAGTGTGCTACCTGCAAGCCCCAGTAAAAGCGCCCCATCAGGGACAAACAGCGGCCTCTTGATTACTTGGACTGCCAGGGTGAAACGGGTGCAAAACGCCAGCATCCTGTCTACAACTTCAACATCCATCTACAACTTCACTAGCATTTCTCAGTACAGTGGTACCTCGGGTTAAGTACTTAATTCGTTCCGGAGGTCCGTTCTTAACCTGAAACTGTTCTTAACCTGAAGCACCACTTCAGCTAATGGGGCCTCCTGCTGCTGCTGCGCCGCCGGAGCACGATTTCTGTTCTCATTCTAAAGCAAAGTTCTTAACCTGAAGCACTATTTCTGGGTTAGTGGAGTCTGTAACCTGAAGCGTATGTAACCCGAGGTACCACTGTATTGTGAACAACACCAAACTTACCCTTTGTTGGTACCTTCATGAACTTACCTGAAAATATAAAGAAAACAAAAGACTGAGTTAAGCATTTGAAAAATCCATTGAAACCAGACATTATAAAGTTCATCTTAGGTTGGGTAGTTTGTAAGCCTCCGTGGCTTTGCACAAGGTTTTGTATATTTCAGAAGATTGATAAAGAATGTATAATTATTTTGGTAATTATTGTGTGTATATTAGTTGCCAACGTGTTGCATGAGTCGTACCACTTGGGTCCAGAACAGAGCAAGGCAAGCCTGTGTCTCCAGCATTAGCCAAAGCACACACACACTGGCATATTGAGCTCCATCTGAAGATGACCAGGTGAAGTGGGAAAAGGACCAGTCTGGTAACAGCATGGCATCAGATGCTAGATGGCTATCAGTCATGAACGCTTTAGTTGAGATTCCTGCAATGCAGGGGGTTGGACAATGTAGGGATGCGGGTGGCGCTGTGGGTTAAACCACAGAACCTAGGACTTGCCGATCAGAAGGTCGGTGGTTCGAATCCCCGTGACGGGGTGAGCTCCCGTTGCTCGGTCCCTGCTCCTGCCAACCTAGCAGTTCGAAAGCACGTCAAAGTGCAAGTAGATAAATAGGTACCGCTCCGGCAGGAAGGGGTTGCGGCGCTCATCTCACTTTACTGGCCGAGGGAGCCGGTGTACAGCTTCCGGGTCATGTGGCCAGCATGACTAAGCCGCTTCTGGTGAACCAGAGCAGCGCACGGAAACGCCGTTTACCTTCCCGCTGGAGTGGTCCTATTTATCTACTTGCATTTTGACGTGCTTTCGAACTGCTAGGTTGGCAGGAGCAGGGACCGAGCAACGGGAGCTCACCCTAGCTCACTCCGTCGTGGGGATTTGAACCGCTGACCTTCTGATCAGCAAGTCCTAGGTTCTGTGGTTTAACCCACAGCGCCACCTGCATCCCTTCAAAAATAGTATGCAGCTCATGAAACATTTTTACTAGGAGAAAACTACAACTTTTGAAGAGAAATGGCGGGACTTAACTGGCCAGCTCAGGCCATGCTCTTACAAAGGAACTTCGTTCAGATGCCTCTTATACTAGAATCTAAACCTCCTAGGAGGAATTGAGGGTTTGAGATCCATTGGCTGCCCTCACCTGGTTTTGCTGGCCAGTCAAAGCCATTTCTTGGGACTGTGGCCGCTGTCACCTGCTGACAGCTTCTAGGAGGCACAGGTGAGAGCTGAGTGCAGGGTAGCGACCAAAGGTGGACAGACTGTCCCCCCACCAGAGGTACTAACCCCTCCCTTAACACCCCATACATTATGTTTTTAATGCTACGCCACAGTTGCCCAGTATTGGCAGCGAGGAGCTGGAACTCAACTATCACCAGCCCAAGCGGCAGCCTTCCAGTTAAACAAGTCTGTGCAAGATCCTTCCTGTGTTGTGATGCCTTTGCCTCAAATGACGAACCTTCTCTGAATTCCGACACGCCCTAATCGGAAGAAGGAAAAGAGGTCTCTTTCGCACCATGCTGGCTTTCTGGTATTTAAGTTTCCCATTTTGGAGAGTGATTCTTTCCCAAACTCCTGGCTCAGGTAGGATTCTAATACCATCTCTCTTTTCCCACTTGCTCACTTCCCTTGGATTATGTCCCACGAACCTCTGTTTTTTTATTATGCTCTCGATGAATCAAAGATATTTCACATTACTTCCATAGTCTGTACCCCTGCCAAAAAAACCACCCCTCCATGTATGTTTACATAGCAACCGCTATCAAAGTTCAGGCAGAAAACTTCCAATAGCCTTTTTTTTCTTTCTTTGTTTTTAAAGATATTTGAGACAGCGGGAAGTTGTTGCAGGAGTCATGTATATTAGAATAAGGTGGAATAAGGGGCACAGGTGGCGCTATGGGTTAAACCACAGAGCCTAGGACTTGCCGATCAGAAGGTCAGCAGTTCGAATCCCCGCAATGACGGGGTGAGCTCCCGTTGCTCGGTCCCTGCTCCTGCCAACCTAGCAGTTTGAAAGCAGAAAGTGCAAGTAGATAAATAGGACCACTCCAGCGGGAAGGTAAACGGCGTTTCCGTGCGCTGCTCTGGTTCGCCAGAAGCGGCTTAGTCCTGCTGGCCACATGACCCGGAAGCTGTACGCCGGCACCCTCGGCCAATAAAGCGAGATGAGCGCCGCAACCCCAGAGTTGGTCACGACTGGACCTAACGGTCAGGGGTCCCTTTACCTTTACCTTTAAGGTGGAATAAGGGCTTAACTCCATCCAGAGCTTAACATGAAACTCCCCCTCCCTGGGCCTGCTCCGCACCCTTCCATGGAAGGTTGCCTGGAAGGAAATAAAAATAAACAATTTATTGTACCCCGCCCATCTGATTGGGTTGCCCCAACCACTCTGAGTGGCTTCCAACAGAATAACACAACGAAACACCAACCATTAAAAACGTCCCCATACAGGGCTGCCTTCAGATGTCTTCTAGAAGTTGTGTAGTTCTTTATCTCCTTGTCTTCTGATGGGAAGGTGCTCCACAGGGCAGGTGCCACTACCGAGAAGGCCCTCTGCCTGGTTCCCTGGAACCTCATTTCTTACAGTGAGGGAACCACCAGAAGGTCCTCGGAGCTGGACAATGGGGCGTGGAGACGCTCCTTCAGGTCTACTCGGTTGAGGCCGTTTAGGGCTTTAGAGGTCAGCACCAACACTTTGAATTGTGCTCGGAAAGCTACTGGGTGCCAATGTAGGTCTTTCAAGGCGGGTGCTATGTGGTCTTGGTGGCCGCTCCCAGTCACCAGTCTGGCAGCCACATTCTGGATGAGTTGTCATTTCCGAGTCACCTTCAAAGGTAACTCCACATGGAGCGCATTGCAGTAGTCCAAGCGGGAGATAACCAGAGCATGCACCACTCTGGCTTGACAGGTAGGGTCTCAGCTGATGTACGAGATAGAATGTGGCCCTCAGTCTGAAAAGGAGAGAGACCCTTGGTGCTATCAGCAGCAGGGATATTGATGGATGTGTGGCAACCAGCCGACTGAATTCTGACCCTCATCCCAACAAAGCCCCCTTTGAGTCTCTCCCTCTCCGTTTAAGCCAGCGCAGTTGCACACCCCAGAGCCTACGTCAAGCGCCATGAGAGGCTGTCTTACGACAGAGGAGCTTTGGAGAAGATGCATCAAGAGGCAAAGAAGGAAGGAGACGGGAGATCGATCTTGCTCGAGTTCCAAGCCTACCGGAGGTACAGTAACACCATCCGTTCAATGTAGGGATTGCTATGGGATTGCTATGAGGAATTATAACATATAGAGTAAGCCATCTGTGTCAGTTATGAAAGCATTGCGTTGACTGGGTTTAAACTATTTTGATATGATTCTTGATCAATCCACACCTCTGCATCCTTGTTCCATTTCTCTTTCTTGACAAGTCACATACACAGAGAGGCAGGCGTCCTGGGTCATCAAAGACAGTGGGCAGTTTCTGATATATTAATCTTAGGATGTCAATCTTAGGGCCAGGAAACAGATCTCACCTGAAGGTGATAATGATCGCTGTCCTCCTGCCCATCCTTCTTATCATGTGTAATGATTGTTTATCACCTCTGGGGTTGCCAGACGACACTCCTTTTGTAGTTCTGTTTTGTTTACCCCAGAAATATGTGTGCTTAATTAGTTTTGGTAGTTTAACTTTTCCCCACGTGGGGTTTGTTGAAATGCTCAGAAGAAATCTGATTGGTTCTTAGAACACTCTGTAAAAAGGTCTTTTGTGAATAAAACGACCTGGGCCAGGGGCTGGAGACAGAGATTATTATACGCACCCTTCCCAGAGTCTTGCTGGCACAAGCCTCTGTGTCTATTCTTATTAATCAGAGTTCAATCCTTCCTTTACTTTGGGAACGCCTCAGTTCAACAGCCAACTTTTGCATGAGTGGGGCAGGTATCTGTGGGTGATGCTCAGTCAGTACAGCATGAGACTCTTGATCTCAGGGTCATGAGTTCAAGCCCCATTTCGAGCAAAAGACTCATGTATTGCAGGGAGTTGGACCAGACAACCCTGTAGTAGTAGTAATAATAATAATAATAATAATAATAATAATAATAATAATTTTTATTATCTATACCCACCCATCTGGCTAGGTTTCCCCAGCCACTCTGGGCGGCTCCCAACAGAAATAAAAGCACAATAAAACATCAAACATTAAAAACTTCCCTAAACAGGACTGCCTTCAGATGTCTTCTAAAAGTCAGGTAGTTGTTCATTTCCTTGACATCTGGTGGGAAGGTGTTCCACAGGACGGGGCGCCACTACTGAGAAGGCCCTCTGCCTGGTTCCCTGTAACCTCACATCTTGCAGGGAGGGAACCGCCAGAAGACCCTCAGAGCTGGACCTCAGTGTCCGGGCTGGACAATGGAGAGACCCCACAATTTGTCCCTTTAAAAAAAAAATGCAACAAAAGTTATTCACTCTGGTGTCCACATCAAGCAATGAGTTCCGCCAGCTAAATGCATGTGTCGAAACTGTGTTTCAGGGTCTTCAGACTGAGACTATGGAGGGACAGGAGTGTTTTTGCAAGAGGCATTGAGATCACCAGGAGAAACGGAGATGCCGGGCCCACGAACCTCTCTTTCATTTACTCTGGCATCCTGGAAGGTGACCAAAAAATAATTTTAAAAAATAGGTCTGGAAAGATGTCAGCATCTCACAAAGGGGGATAGAAAAAGAATGTATTCTCTCTGTCTCCCACCTGCCTTTCTTTCTCTCTACCGGAAAAGAATTCCAGACAAGTCTGCCCTCCACATAACTCCTATTCAGAGCAGATGTGCTGAAATTAATGAATTTGAGCTTTCATTTTAAAAGTAGGGGGAGAACGAGCTTCTGTAGTCCTTAAGGCAGTGAAACTGTGCTTGAAAAATTCTGGGGCAACGGCTGGGAAAATCCCACAGGGCAGGGTGTGCACAACACTTTGAATGAATCAAGATGAATAAATTGTGCAAAATGGATGCAGATTTAGAAAGCTTCCCCAACTTCAGGGACTGGGAGCCCTTGGCCCTCTCAGATGGACTACGACTCCCATCATCCCTGGGTGTTGCCCATGCTGGCTGGGGCCGATGGGAGTTGGAGTCCAAGGACATCCCAGCTGATGCCTGCAGTTTGCAGAGTTTCACATGGGTCACATAATTATGGTCTGTGTGTGTGGTTTGGGAGCTGCGCGGTCAGGGAAAAAACAACGCTGTCCAGGGTTGTAAAGTCTGCGGAGAGAATAATTGGGTGCGCTCTTCCCACCTTGGATCAAATCTATGCTTCCAGGTGCCATAAGAAAGCTGCAGAGATAGCGCAGGACAGTGCACACCCCGGAAATGATCTCTTTCAGCTTCTGCCTTTTGGAAGAAGGTACAGGGTTATAAAGACTAGGACTAGCCGCCTGAGAAACAGTTTCTACCCAAATGCGATTTTGGTTTTAAACGCAGTGTAAGGAGTCTTTATGGGAGTATATTGTATTTAATTATGGGGTATCAGAGTTAGGACTTGCCAATCAGAAGGTTGAATCCCCGCGACGGGGTGAGCTCCCGTTGCTCGGTCCTTGCTCCTGCCCAACCTAGCAGTTCGAAAGCACATCAAAGTGCAAGTAGATAAATAGGTACCGCTCTGGCGGGAAGGTAAACGGCGTTCACCAGAAGTGGCTTAGTCATGCTGGCCACATGACCCGGAAGCTGTACGCCGGCTCCCTCTGCCAATAAAGTGAGATGAGCACCGCAACCCCAGAGTCGGCCAGGACTGAACCTAATGGTCAGGGGTCCCTTTACCTTTTAACAAGGCTGGTATAGCAGGCTTGTTGGTTTTTGAATGTCTGATGTAGATTTTTTTCAATTTCGTTGTTCTGTATGGGACAATGACAATAAAGATTATTGTATTGTATTGTATAATGTTTGGATGGATGGATTTTAGCCCAGCCTGTGCTAATGACCCTGCTGACCTTCCCACAGGAGAGCCAGGTTCCTCTTGCCACGGGTCCATCATCAACGGCCTCTTTGAGGGCTTCATCCGGACGCAGAACGGCACCTATTACATTGAATCTGCTGGGACGTCTTCCTCCAGCCAGACCTCTCCAACTCATTCATTCATCCATCATGAGAGTGACTTAGGTCAGTGGCTTTCAACCCGTGTGCAGTTGCACCCTGGGGTGCCTTGAATGGTGATCAGGGGTGTCACAGGCAACACTGGCCTCTGCCCCTCTGCCCTTATTCCCATATGGGGTATCCAAGAGCCCATATAGAGTCCTTAAGTGGGTTCTCTATCGGTAGGAGAAAATAACAGAGGCCAACCAGAGAATATTGAGAAGCAAAACAGCTAGTCAGCCTGATCTTTATTGATCTGTTGCAACAGGGTGCTCCCCTCACACGCAGGAGAAGGAGGAGGACCCAGAACAAAGGTGTGCCCGCCCTTATATAGCCATTTTGAAATTCCCTGCCCCAGAGCTCAAGACCACCTCTCCATTCATGATACATACATCACAGAAGGGGTGTAGCCCAAGACCACCCCCCACAAACACCATATCTACACCACAGAAAAGGCTGTCTATAACAGAAATTTGAGTGTGTTGTTGTTTTTCCTTGTCTGCCAGGTTATCTGATAATGCCTTATCTGATTGCCTTTCCTGGTAGTCTGGCCATTCCTTTGAGATGGTTATTACCCAATTCCTGAGACAAGGGGAAGGTTCCCTCACCCCCTCCCTCCTTGCAGAGAAAACATTTGGTCAGTTTGGGAGTCAAAATGGTTTCAGGGCGGTCTTCCTGTGCTGCTCCAGACATGTGGTCCACAAAAGTCACAAAAGTGATTGTGCTGATTTTGGTAGTGGGCTGCATGTGCATGATATCTGCTGGAGGGGTAACCACTCCCCCAACCTAGACGTAAATTCCTGCAACAGCTGGAAGGGACTCGGAGGATCAGAATGCGTTATCATATTCCTTAGTGGGGGGGGGGGGTCATGTAAACTGCTCTACTGAATTATGCTTTCTATGGGGTAGGGGGGCACTGGGGGTGACGGGTGGTGTGATAGGAATTTTGAGGTCTGAGATATATGTTAAATGTTCATACGTGTACCAACCAAGCACGTACATTGATCAGCACAGGAAGACCGACCTGGAACCATTTTGATTCCCAAACTGTCCTAAACTGACCAAATGTTTTCTCTGCAAGGTCAAAGCAAAATGGACAAGCCTCCCCATTGTCTTTTCCTTCACAAATCCTGTCTTAAGGGTATGTCTGTGTATGAATAGGGTGAGCCTGCGACCTGGCCCAGGAACTAAGTATTTATCATTACAAAAGACTAGCCAGGCTCCCTAGGCAATCCAATCAAGTAACCTGACAGACAGGAGATAGACAATGACAGGAGAAAAACAACATTCAAATTTCTGTTTTAGACCGCCTTTTTTGTGATGTAGGTATGATGTATCTGAGGGGTGGTCTTAGGTTACACCCCTTCTGTGACGTATGTATGATATTTCTGGGGTTGGTCTTGATCTAAAGGTAAAGGGTAAAGGGACCCCTGACCATTAGGTCCAGTCGTGACTGACTCTGGGGTTGCGTGCTCATCTCGCTCTATAGGCCGAAGGAGCCGGCGTTTGTCCACAGACAGCTTCCGGGTCATGTGGCCAGCATGACTAAGCCACTTCTGGCGAACCAGAGCAGCACACGGAAACGCCGTTTACCTTCCCGCCAGAGCGGTACCTATTTATCTACTTGCACATGACGTGCTTTTGAACTGCTAGGTTGGCAGGAGCAGGGACCGAGCAATGGGAGCTCACCCCATCGCGGGGATTCGAACTGCCAACCTTCTGATCGGCAAGTCCTAGGCTCTGTGGTTTAACCCACAGCGCCACAGGGTGGCAATTTCAAAAGTCTATATATAAGGCCTTGTGCGCCATTGTTCTGGGTTCCTCTTCCTTCTCCTTCGTGTGAGGGGAGCACCCTGTTGCAACAGATCAATAAAGATCAAGCTCACTAGCTGCTTTGCTTCTCAATATTCTCTGGTTGGCCTCTGTTACTTTCTCCTACCAATAGGGAACCTACGTAAGGACTCTATATGGGCTCTTGGATACCCCATAAGGGGAAAAGGGCAGATTTTTGTTTACAGCAGTGGCTTGAAAAGATTTGGGGATCCCCTGGTCTAAATTGATTCTAGATCCTGCCGTGCGGCTGATGGATTGAAAACCCTCCCCTTGGCGAGGTTATCCACACCTTTTCCTCTCTGCGCATGCCCAGGTGAACGAAGGAGCACATGGCAGATCTTGGTACAGACCCACGCACATCATCGCTGGGCAGGTGTGGTGACATAACGCTCCTCAGGTGGGAAAATACAGCATCAGTCTGCAGCAGGCTAGAATTCTTGGAACGAAGCCAGTTCCCCACAAAGCCCTTTTCAGGGGCCAGAAAGTCTGCTTTAAATCTCGACTGTGTGTGAGGAAAACAAAACCCACGTGCTTGTTGGACTTCAAAAACAAAGATCCCTCAGGGGAGTTCCGCTGCATGAAGAGATTCCCTCTTGTCTTGAGACTCTGAAGCGCCATTATGGATTTTTTTTCTTCTCCCCCACTGCTAGACTATCAGCTCTGGGGTGATTCTGAATCCGTGACTTTGGCTCGGCGGACGCACCAGCACCTGCAGGACTTCCAGCGAAAGCTCACGGCAAAGGTGAGGGTTAAAAGCTGAGAAAGGGGGCTTCTTAGTTTAGAGGAAATACGAGCAAGAGGTGGCAGGGTGGACGTTTATAAAAGTACCGTATTTTTTGCTCTGTAAAACTCACTTTTTCCCTCCTAAAAAGTAAGGGAAAACGTGTGTGCGTCTTATGGAGCAAATGCAGGCTGCGCAGCTATTCCAGAAGCCAGAACAGCAAGAGGGATTGCTGCTTTCACTGCGCAGCGATCCCTCTTGCTGTTCTGGCTTCTGAGATTCAGAATATTTTTTTCCCTTGTTTTCCTCCTCCAAAAACTAGGTGCGTCTTGTGGTCTGGTGCGT